AAGACAAGCTTTCCACTGTCCGTTAATCTATATGTCTATTCCATTCACTGTGCATCATTAGACCATCTGTGTCTTTAATAAGTAACTATGTGGGCTCTCACAGTTTAAATATTTACTTTAACATAACAAGAGAATCCACATGAAACTGAGATACATGAGAATATCCATGTCGGATGTTTTAAGTGGAATGGGAGTGGATTTGTGTAGTAGGTTTGCAAACTATAAACAGATGTGTTTTGATGACCTGCTCTCCTTTATCTGGTCTCCATTTATAAAACACAAGTTCACAGATTAAGCTTCTCAGGGTTTTCCATGCACTTGAGAGAATCTACAGTGTTTCTTGCTGTTGGAGTTGTGGTGAGAAGTTCAAACTTTGCTCTGTACTTGGTTTTCATGAAAATCGGATTTGGCATTGCTGGTAAAATACCTCCACAGTGGCGTTCTCTCAGTACGACAACAGGTGGCCGAAGGGAATTCCATGTCCCTTTGTAGCTTGAGGAGGTCACTCCTGCAGGTCACTGCTGAGGACAGCAGATGAGTCTCACTGTTGTCTCCGCTATGGTCAGAAAGGGACCTTCAGTTTTCAGAAGTCTTTCCTGTAGTTGCAGTCTGCCTGTGACTCTGCCTGGGCAAGTATGAATGTCATGGGTTAGACATGAGATTGGAGATTGTTACTCATAGATCAGAACCACTAATCTCCTTCATGAAAGTTCAGTGAGGCAAAGTTAAGGTTTGCCTTTTTAGGTACTATTTTTGCCAACTTTAGGTACTAATTGCCATAATTTCAAGAACATAAATGTGGTTCATCTTGTTTTACAGATATAGAGAAAAAGTTGGTGGGTTCTGCTATCACATGGGTATCCTGAGACACGGCTGCTTCTTTCTCTTTTCCAAGTGCCTCTGTATGTGATTATAACAAGAAAACACAAGAGTCAGTATAACAAACAAAATGAATTTCAATATGGGGTGCACAGAATGTCTGAGGAATCACTACCTGATGGTGATGAAACACTGCAACACTCGGAGCTGCTTTTTATTCCTGTTCGAGTCCAGGAATAATCCGCTTCTTTCATAGTTTGTTTAAGGGAGACCAAGTTCTCCCTCTGGCGCTGCTTGGTACCTCATCTTGCTACTCAGTTTTACAGCATGTGGTCTTTGAAGTTTGAATCCCAAGCTCTTTCTGGACAAGCCCTAACTGAAAAGGCAGCCTTTAGCATTAGGTAGCAAAAGATAAATTTTCAGCCCCATGAGCAGGAACTCAGTTACATGACTTGCATTACTATTAATGGGGGTCATGCTGGTAAATTCCTGTACACCACATTGCACATTTACTCATGAGTGCAGAATTGGCACAGCTAATGAAACTTGCCTTTCGTCTAGCGTGGTGTTTCAGGAGATGAGTCTGACAGGCAGAAAGGACTGCGAAGTACCTAGATGAAAGTCTGGCTTTTAACTCCTTGAACATATTTCCAGAAAATAATAGTGTGAGTTAATGCTGGTTAGTGTTAGCTGTTCCTCCTGTTAGGGATCAGTCTTGCTCCAATAGGGCTTCATCAAGGCAAAGATCATGCCTGAAATGTAAATCTGTGTGCTGTCAGTGCTGGTAATTCACTTTCTTGTGCATTTTCCAAGTACTGCTTACTCTTACTTATTTTCTTCCAAACATAGGCCAGTCCTCTGCTAACACCAGCTTCTATAATCATAAACAAGCTAAGTTATTTTTTATAATTTTCATCCCTGCTACTTTCCCAAAGATGATCCCTCCTATGGATGAGCATCACCTGGTGATTTCCAGCCTACGTTATTCATGGGCATCTCATATCCCTTTGTTCTTTTAGTGAGTCCATTGCAGTGATTGCATCTTCTCATATCCAAAACCCTTACTCAGCCTTTACTTTACTAGAGTAAACAAGCCAAGGCCATTTTGCCTGTTTGATTAGGTAAGCTTTGCATTGCTCTGGCTGCCGTTCTGTGCACTTGGTGTAGTTGGAAGGTATTTTTAATAAATGAAATCAGAATTGCCCACAATATTCTATCCTGTTCAGTGTCATGAAATTTCCCTAATGTGCATCTATGCAACAACGCAGTGTTGCATTTTAATCTCACCATGATTCCTAATTGTTTTGTAATCAACTAGTAGGGATTTTTTTCTTCTTTTCCATCATTTAGTGCTGATTGTCTTTGAGTCTGCAAGAGGAATTCTTGTCACTAGATCCCAAGTTTCATGTTGTGGGATTAATTCTCTTTTTTGCATGCAACTGTTTTAATGCATGATGTTCTAAATATTCTTTACATCACCAGCAACCTATATTTAGTATTAATCAAAATATTAAATGAAGAAAATCCATTTAATGATTCAATTCTGAAGGAGCTCGTAACTTAGGCTTCCTCTGTTCCACTCTTTTATTTATTTCACATTATTTCAGTTATAAAGTGTTCCCTATGCTAGCTGTTGAGAAGATGAGTAGTGTAGTACTTATTTTGAGTCCTTGTCCCATTAAATCACTCAGAAAATCTCTCTTTCCGTTCCCAACATATTCTTCCATTTTGGTAAAAAGCCCATTCCATCAAATGAGCCTGTTAATGTGGTTGGAAAATCAGTATATGTTTGAACTAAGTATGACCTGAACTGCCAAAATGTTTCTTTTTCTTCATTGAAATATTCCCTTTCTTCTTTATCACCTTATGATTCTGTGTGGTCATCAGAGCTGAAGAGATCTGCACTGCAATGAACAGCCAACATCTAGAGAAACATTTTGCAGTTTCTATGTTAAATAAAAGTAGGAAAAAAAATCAATTTTCCACTGCAGCTAGTGACTGTGAAGGAGCAGCTGCAAACTGCTGAGTCTCATCAGGTTGCAATCGTGATTAACATTGGGCAGATCCCCCCTGCTGCGAGAATAAATACCCAGCCTTTGTCAAGGCTCCCATGTAAGAAACAATAGATTATTTCAGTGAAGCACAAGAACATAAATGTTAATCGAATCATTCCTTCGAATGAATAGAAGTAGCACCCAGAATGTAAACATTTTAATTTTGGAAGGGAAGGTCTGTCTGCCTGTCGGTTGGTTAATTTTCTATGTATTTTTTCATTTACTCTGAAAAGCTGCTCACTAACATTGCCATCATTGCATACAATAACATTTTCAGCACTGAAAATACATATGCTTCCTGTCTTTCCAAGCTAGGCAGTGGTAAAGTCCAGGGAGTATCGGAAAAAATAAAATCAGCTTTAATATCACTCAAGAGAGGTCAAAACCTTTTACTGAATAACTGCCAAACTATGTGATCACATTAGTTCTTGGTAGAGGAAATGGAACATACTTTCCAACTGGAATTGACACCAGGAAACATATTTTAAAAATGTTTTTATACATCAGGATAATTGCCCTTAAAAATGAATCTGTCTCTCTTTACAGATGATGAAAGTGGTTTTAAGTATTTTAACAAATTTGTGTGTGTATAAGCAAAACATAAAGAAGTGATTTATCCCCTTACTGCTTCCTTGCTCGCTGTACAAATATGGAATTTCAGAAGGCAGTTGAGCAATACATGTTTTAAAGCGAGCGCACAGCAAACTACAGTGTGATGCCCAACCATCTTCATTTTCATGTGGTTACAACTCAATAACACATAAAAATATGTTTTGGCTTTCAGTTGTGCTGTGTGTCTGGTCAGATCCTGCAGACTTCACTCCAGTGAAGGGTATCCATTTACCCCCAGAGGAACAGCAGCAAAGCCAGTGGAGTTCAGCTCGTTGCTTCTCTTGTACCCATAATGTCCTCAGAGATCCTGCACCAGTGGTAGATGAGGAATCCTTAGCTCTATATGAACACTGAACTTGGAAAAGGTTTTCCTAAAGAATTCGCTAGTTCTTCACCGAGGCTGCTATGCTACTTTTATATGTGCACCCTTTTTTAACAGTCATAATGCACTTCTCCACTGGATGGATCTGTCTCTTGAGTTTCTGCACAGCAGATATCATCTCCTGCCAGTCATGCTGGGATACATCTTGTCAGTTACAAAATCAGTGGAGATGAAGAATGTGTTTGTGGTAGAGGCACAGAACTTGGATGGTTGGGATGGAATTCCTGGTGGTCCCATAGGCTTTCCTGTCTGTTGAGATCACTGAATTTCCCCAGGTGTTGGTAGGTGCTGACGTGGGGACAACAACAACTGACAGCAGGTGCTTGGCAGAGTGAGCCAGAAACAGTGAAGGTGTGAAGCTGAGTGTGATAATTCTGGTTTTGTGACCCATGTTCACCAGGGCATGTTGTGATTGGGTGGGCAGGAGTTTGCTACTGCCTGGGAGAAACCACAGATGAGGGAAAGCCACAGCTTTTATTGCCTCTGTAAAACACTTTTTTTTTTTCCCATCTCCCACGCTGCACCTGCGATGTTGGTCTGTGTGCCTGGACCAAAGTGTCTGCATAAGCAAGCACATTCCTATCCATTATTTTTGATTGTCCAGCTCTACAGACCACTGTCTCTGTTCTCCTGTGACTAGAAACTGGGGACTTCTCAGAAGGCTCAGCAATGGGCAGTGGTATTTCCTGCGCTCCATCCTGTAGCTGGAACAAACAGGCTTCAGCTAAGCTCCCTCCCAGTCATCAGACAACCTCTCACTACAACCTTTAAAGGGGCCTGAGCTCAGTTTCTGGCAGACCTGACAGAGTACACCCATCAGAGAAAATTTGATTTAAGCCTTTAGCTTCACTTATAATATTACATCATTTTAGGGTTTTCATTCATTTGAGGTGAAGAGGTGCAAAGTGAAGACAATTTATTACATTTTACTATGCAGAAGTGGGGAAACACCTCTTTGGGATTTTTCCTTGCCTAAATGTTATAGGATAGCTCAACTTCTGCTTTCTCTTTACGTATTGTACTTTTGTCCCCTTTGGGGGGTAGTGAGAAGTATATTGTCGAGCTGACTGAACCAGCATTTAAATCCCATGTGTATGTAGCACTGTATGACATGTGCCATTTATATTTTGAAGCCAAACATTGGCCGATTAGGAATTCCCCATGGGCCTTCTGGAGAGAAAGTGGCTGTGGTGACTGTGGACGACTGTGACACAGCAGTGGCTGTGCGCTTTGGGAGCCTCATTGGAAACTACACCTGTGCTGCCCAGGGGACTCAGACTGGCTCAAAGAAGTAAGGATTCCTCATATTTGTGTTTTCCACTCATTCTCTTCTTCTTCTAGTGGAGAATCAACAGGATGCAATTAACCACTAAGCACTAAGCGATTACCCAGTAAGTTGGAAAGGCAGATATGATGTAACAAGAAAAAGTAACAAGGTTTAGTTTGGGAGATGGAATTTGTTGGAGGCTACTAGAAGGGTCAGTATACCAAATTCCTTCTAAAATTAAAAACCAAAAACAGGAAAAAAAAGAGCTGAAGGTCAGTGCATCTACTTGGTGTGAAAATGTAGACAGAAGGACAAGTAAAGTGTCAGACTTTTTTAATGAAGGAGATAGCTGAAGAGCTTATTACTGTCATAATTTAAGTTTATAGTCCTATCTTAAAAGGAAATAGACATAAAGGATACACAGAAAAGGGCATTGAAAATCATTAGGTGTGAAAAAAGGTTTCCTGAGAGGAAAGACCAAAAAACATTAGTACTTTTGAATGTAAAGAGAAGATGAACAGTAAGCAACATAGAGGGGATATAAAGTAATGAGTGATGAGTGATAGAGGAAAGACCAGTGGTGCTCTAATCCGAAAAGAAGGGCACACTAAAAATTGGGGCTAATTCAAACTGACCAGATGATACACTTCTCGCACAGTGTGGAGTAATTTATTAGAACCTGCACCCACTAAGTGTAATTAAGACTAGGATTTTCAGAAGCTTTTAAAGGGGTTGGCACTATATAACAATTAAGTCATTATATAAAAACGTACAGCATCACAGCCTTTGTGCTGAGCAGCATAAGCCAGTTCCTGCATGACTGGGATCAGAAACAAGCATCCTGTGGCTGCACATTTTTCCATAATTTTAACTTTCTTCTTCATATTGGCCACTGTTAGGGACAAGTCACTGGATTCTTTATGAATATAACAGCTTCTCAGTTAAAAGTTAGTGTTTTGGGAAGTGCTCATGTAGCAGAGGGAAGTGCATGGCAACACGGGTACACTAAACAGCTCCAGCGTACTTATGGAAGCAGTAAGATAAAGAACAAAAAAAAAATTAAACTATTTGCAAGAAATTATGAGCAATTCTTTTTTTCTTCAGATCTTTGGACCTAACTGGTCCTCTCCTTCTTGGTGGTGTCCCAAACTTGCCTGAAGATTTCCCAGTGCACAACAGGCAGTTTATTGGCTGCATGAGGAACCTCTCCATTGACAGCAAGCCCATCGACATGGCCAGTTTCATTGCCAATAACGGCACTCTGCCAGGTATGAGCAACTAGCACCCCAAAAATCAACATAAGAAAGGTCTCTGCTACAGCTATGTGTGTAGCCAGGCTTAGAATGTTGAAGGGGCCAGCACTAGGAGGAACCCCAGGAAGGAGCAGGGGACAGAGGGGTCTGAAATGATGCCTGTCACCCTGTTAGCACCGCTGAGGGTGGAGCAGCCATGTGGCAGGTGTTGCTGGGCATTGTGCTGCCACCGTGCCACTGGCGTGGCTGCATCCAGACCTCATTTGTTTCAGCAAGGTGCAGTCCTTGCCTGTGCCAGAGAGGCACACAATAGCCTGTAGCACAGGGCACACTTCCAGGATTAGGCAGCACACAGGAAAGGACTGGGCTTATTTAGACCTTCTGCATTGCTAGGATTTTCACCCAGGAATTTATTCCTAAGTGAACTTTTCTTCTTCTATGTTTTAGCTACCTTTTATATGTCATCTTGCTCTGAAAGCCAGTGGATTAGTTCGTGAAGAAAGACAACACTTTTAATTACTTTTTAATAAATTATCTTTGTTCTGTAAATAAAGTTCTGCAATCCTCCAAATCTGAAACCTGCTTCATGAGGCAGCCTGTTGGAGATTCTGATTTGGTTTCCAGTCTTGGATCCCTGATCAGGATTAGTTCTGGTGATTAGGTGTACAGAATGTTGTCATCATCCTAAAACTGGCTCTTACGCACAAAAATGGCAAGTCCCTTCTGTCCATGCTGCTGAAGGTCTGTGTAACAGCTAAATTGCAGTTCTGAAGTATGTTGTGTTGATTGTGGATTAAGAAGGGAGTTGTAACATACACTTTTGATAGATAGATTTGTCTTTATGAATTTGACGTATAATCAGCTCATGTGAACTTTGCCATTGACGTTTTGCTTCACTGACTTCACTTCTTCAAAAAAAGAAAGCAAGAAACCCAAACTTGTGTCATGTCTTTACATAAAAACTCACAAAGAGTAATTCAGAGCCTTTTTCTTGTTAAAACCTTGCAGAGTAACGTTTTTGCTGAATTTCAGGCTGTGCAGCACAGAGGAACTATTGTGAAACCAACTGGTGCCAGAACGGAGGCACGTGCATCAACAAGTGGAACACGTACATCTGCGAGTGCCCCGTACGCTATGGAGGGAAAAACTGTGAGCAAGGTAGGGTGCAAACACCTCTTCACACATTGTCAGGTGTCCATGTTTCCTTACCTGTCATTAGCATCTCACAGCATGTATGTCAAACTGTCACGCACAAGGGTAACAGAGGATTGCAGTTGAGACTAGAGGTCATCCCTTATCTATTTGAAATAATTTTAGAGATCACTTACGTAGTAGGTGACATACTGTCATGAATAACAGCAGCTTTCATTGATTTACTTACATAAGCAAAGTCATTCCAAAGAACTTGGCAGTATTTAGTAATTTGTTTATCGTAAAAATGCCTGATCCTAAGCCCCTTTAAATCAGTGGAAAGAATCCTGCTGACTTTATTGAGCTTTGACTCAACCCGGGGATCAGTGTGCAGCTTTAATCACCACTTTCTTGGCAGGAAGGCATTCTCTGCTAAGTATGAGCACTTTCAGTTTTACTGGGTTTTTCTTTGATTGAACACAGTGTGCGTATATGTGTAAAACCTCATTAATAAAGGATAAGGAAGGAGCAGCAGGTGAGTTTTATAGGGTGTGAACGACTTGCAGTCCCTTTCTTCCCTAGAAGCGAGGGGTTGTCTGTGTGGGGAGTCCCATGGGGTTGGTACTGTAAGGTGGTTGTTCCTTTGGGGCCTTTCTGGAGGCTTCCAGGATAGAAAACCTGCTTATACTAGGCATGGCTTTCCTAGAAACAGAAGGCCAAATTCTGGCCCCTGATGCAGATGTGGTAGGTCTTTGCTTCCTTTATCCCCTGTGACACTTAGCCCAGAATATTTTGCATTGTGATCCAGGGTTTTGTTCTTTTGATGTATCTACCCCAAACCAGATATTCTGGATTGCTCTCAGCAGAGTGTGGACCCTGGAATTGCAGGTCTCCAAGCTGAGCTGCCATAGGGATTTTCAAACCCCTTTAGCACAATATGCCTCAGCCTGGGCCAGATCTACGTGTTGACAGCCACTCTCCCCTTACCTGAGAAGCAGCAACTCAGGAGGAAAGGACACATGGTTAAGTTTGTGTCTTGGAAATAAGGATTTGTAGAGTGAGGAACAGGGAAAAGGAATGATGGGATGGAGACCTCTTCTTCTGTTCCACCTTGTGCACAACCCAGAGCTGCTATTATTGCCCCAGTGAGGTACCTGCTTTCTGTAGCAGCTCCTCAAGTATTTTGAGCTTCACAAGTTTGTATGAAGATCTGATTTTCCCATGTGTCTCATGCCAAGTATCTTTGTTGGTGGAGTTCTTGTGTTTTTGTCATGACCAGCTGATCTCTGTGATACAAAGCCATGCTGATGTATCCTGAGGGAGTGCCAGGGCCCAGCTCTGCTATGACCTGTGCTGGTGTAAATGGGGAGTAGTGCTATCACATGCAAAGACTGTCCTTCCCTCTGTCTTTATCTTAGTTTTCAAGTGGAAATTCAGAATTTGACCTAATGTGTGTTTTATTTATAATTTTCTTATCCCAAATTCGAGACCAAACCATAAAGTTTGGGATTTAGAAAATCAGCTCAGAACTGCTCTGTAGACATCACTGGAAACTCATTATAAGTTCAGGTAACAGAGGCGATGACAGTCACATCAGCACTGCCTCCCTCGCACCAGCAGTCACCTCTGCCTCCAGCACTGTGCATTCCTGCATGTCCCCTTTGACACTCTCAAACACCAGGTTCTTGCTGATGCCTCAATTTGTGGTATTTTTCTGAATTTTGAGGGCAGCAGGCTGCTTGCTTCTTTGATGATATTTGTGGGCCAGTGTCCCTATGGAAAAATTGCCAGCCAAGAAAGAAATTAATTTTTCTGGGATGTGAGCAAAGATTTCAGGACCCTGAAGTAAAGTCAGGAGGAATCACAGATATGCAATACTCCTGGCTTTCAGGTTGCTCATTTGAATACTCGGCTATGATCCTAGCAGCATTAGCTATTATTAGGCAGCTATTTTTGAAAAAGTCTTAGGTAGAATATTTGTATTCTTGTGTAGGAGAGATTGGCTGCTACATTTCTTCAGTCCCTTTGGCAGTGCAGGATCTGCTCCACGCTCACAGAGGACAAAGACTTTGGCAGCTTACCAATCCATCTTTCTTGATATCCTGCTCTTCAGAAATTCTGGATCTGGTTTGCACTAGGATGGGGTGTTTGAACTTCACCACCCTCCTAGGACCTGCTGACTCACCTTCTGGCAGCTCCCATCTCCCTCTGCTGACATATAGAAGGGAGACAAAATTAGGAAAAAATTAGTTTTGCCTTTGTTGTAATTTAATTCTTTTAAAATATTAGGTATTGCAATGCTGTGAGGAAGATCTAGCAGCTGTGTCTGACTCTTGGATGGCCAGTGTCATTGCACTAGCCTTGGGCTGACCCCCTCAGGTCTGCATGTAAACATAAGCTTTCACATGTCCTACACCCAAACTGCAGGTGACATCCTGTGGGATGTTGGCAGCGTGTTTCCCTGGCCCTCTGTCTCCACAGGGCATGGCCTTTATGCCTTTATGATAGCCTGTTAAATGTAGGAGTCTTTTAAAAGTGTAAGTAGATACAGAGGCAGTGCTTCAAAGTGACAAACCCTGAGAACACAATTAGTTTGCATCACTCTGTCAGGGAGAGGCTGTGCTGGGAAGCGTGTGTACTCATCTCTGTGGTGACAGGGGTGGTCAAGTCACATCTGGGTACACTGGATGTGGCCACCAGCCCCTCCATGGTCCCAGGCATGGTCCCAGGCATGAGGAAAGGTTGGGAGAAAGAAGGAGGTCAGAGGGGGCTGACAGATGGATTTGTATTTTAAAAGCAGGGGAAGGTGCTCCCTGGCCCCGGGGAAGGGAGGAGAGCTGAGAGGAGGTGTGGGAAGGGAATGGTATTTGCAAGTACAGAAAGTCACCACCGGTGAGAAAAGAAAGAAGGTGGCTAATTGCCATGCCAGTCCAGTTCTCCCAGGAGCAAAGCCAAAACACTTCTGAACAGCATTCCCAGCCTCCAGCAGGTGGGAAGCCCACAGGGTTTGCATCCTGGCTCTGCTCTCCAGAGGCAGATGGACTTAAAAGGCTCAGCAACTGTCTAGAAAACCATCAGCAAAGTTGGAAGCTGAGGTCACTGTGAAGGTCAGCAGGGTAGAGGAGGAAGGGGAAGGCTGACTTTTTCACAGGTAGAGCAGGAGGAAGAAATAATGCTGCTCAACACCATTGTCCCGGTTACTTTTACCTTGATGTGGTGCAGTTGTGGGCTCATGAACTGTGCCCTCACCCAGACTGCCAGAACTTAAGCACTGCGTTGTAGTTTTGAGCAAGCTGGGGACATCTATATCTGGTGACAAACTTCTTTAAATTGCTGCTTGGTTTTCAAGAGCAGGCTGCACTGGAGTTGTTCCACCACATACCCTCACTGGCATTCATGGAAGACTGAGTAGGAATGTAAAGGGGAGATCACAGCCTGGAGCAAGAGGGAGAAGGACTGTCCTTTGGGGCTGCCTGCACTTAGCCTGGTGTGGGGTGGTTGGGTAACTACCTCTTAGAGAAAGGCAAGTCAGGTTACACATCTGGCTTGGCTAGTGATAGCCCATTAGTCCCTGACATCTTGTTTCTCACAAATAGGGAGATAAAGGGCTTGAACTTTTCCTCCAACCCCTCCACTCCCTGCCCCAGCCTTTCCCTTTATAGACACCAGCAAGGCAGATGTATCAGAATTTGGGGTTTGGGTTAATTCCTCAAAAAAAAAAAATACAACTTCACATCAACTTTATTCCATTTTCTGCTATGGTGTCATCCCTCCACCTTTTTCTAAGGACTTGGCATTTCATAGTAGCACAAATGCATTTGTATATACATGATCTGTCCTAGTACAAAAAAAAAGGTGTTAAAAGTGTCAGTAGATTATGGTAGTGTGGAGAAGAGGAAAGACTGTTAAGCCCTGTCATCTCACTGACCATCTACATGGACTCAGCAAATGACAAAATAAAAGGCTGGGGGCTAATCTAGGTGTTGTATCCAGTCTCTGGGGTCTGCTTCCACTGGCAAAAAGCTGCCATGAATGTCACCAACGTGCCCACAAATAACGATACCAGGCAGGGGCTCACTGCAGATCCCTCTACAAGGTGCCAAGCGTGGTGGAGGTGTCATATGAGGTGCTGCAAATAGCACAGAGCTCCCATGGCTTGATCTGTGCTTCTGATGAGTGGAATCAGCTAATCCATGGTACTGTAGCTCCTGTTACCTAAGGTAACAACTTTAAAAGTCCAGTGAGTGGGTGTTCCCCTATTTTCCATCAGCAAAGTACTTTCCATTGAAGGCTGTCACCTGTGTCTCCCTGTATGAGCGTTGTTCATGCAAGGTTAGAGAGGAGGGCGACTCTTCAGCTGTCACCTGGAGATATTTAAGGCAGATGATTTAGGCAATTCCACACAAGCTTTCTCCCTATGAAAGGGCTGCGTAGCAGGGACTACTAAATAATCTGGCCCTGGAGTGTTCATAATTAATTCCTATTTCCTATTGCATCTCAGCCTTTTCCTGTGTTTAATCTGTTAATTAGAAGAAGGTAATCAAGGATATGTTGAAAACATCTGCGGCAACTGTTGCCTTCATACTTCCTGCTCTGTCCACCCACTCATCAGCAGGATTGTATCAGCAGAGATCTTGAGTTTACCTTTCTAGGAACAGCTCTCACCTGGGTAATGCCATAGCAGTGTGGAGGTGCTGCTTTTCAGCACAAGCAAGATGCCTACCCCACAACAAGGGTAGATTGTGAATTTCCAGTATTATCAACTGCTTCACAGTAACTCCCCTAGACTGGCTCTTAATCCATAGTAGATTAAATACAGCTCAACAGAAGAGGGACTAGTTGCCTTGTGTTATCAGTGCAACACAGAATCATTTTTTTCTCTTAACCTTTGTCCTGAAGGATATCAACTGTTTTTCTTCTGTATTTTGGTTTACAGCAATGCCTTCTCCTCAGCGTTTCAGTGGTGAAAGCATTATCATTTGGAGTGACCTTGATATTACCATCTCTGTGCCGTGGTACATTGGGCTGATGTTTAGAACTCGGAAAGTCAATGGCATGCTAATGCAAGCCAATGCTGGGGCTGCATCCAAGATCAACATTCAGGTAAAAATGTGGCTGCCTTTGGTTAGAAAAGAATTCCTTCTCCCCCATCAGTGGACGTGACCAGATGAACTACATAGCTTCATCCACACAGCTAAATGCACATCAATAAAAACATATTATTACTTTAGTGTTTTACAAAGATCAAAAGATGAATGATCAAAATATCATAAAAATCATATTCACTGGTTTAAGATTTTTTTTTAAACAGAGGTAGTAGGATGCATTAATATAGATGCAAAAAATGTATCTATTGTTTTGGGGGTTTTTTGTCCCTAAAGTAAATTGGAGTCTGAGTATCCAAAGTTACACAAGAAGTTCTTGCCAGCATTTGTCTTGTCTTTGCTCTTTGGGCTTTTTTCCTTTTTTGGATTGTCTTAGGAAATGTTATTATCTTTCCCTCTCCTTCCAAAGCATCCAATACAGATACAAAAGACTTTTTTTTTTTTTTTCCAACAGATACTGAACAACTACGTGCAGTTTGAAGTGTACAGTGGCCTGAGTCAGGTTGCTAGTTTAACAATGAGCCAGTCACGAGTCAGTGATGGGGAATGGCATCATTTATTAATAGAGCTGAAGAGTGCTAAAGATGGTAAAGATCTCAAGTACCTCGCTGTCATGTCCTTGGACTACGGGATGTACCAGGTAAGGCAGCATCGTAAGTTTGTGGCTAAGCACTGCAGAAATGTTTTTAGGAGAAAGTAGGATAAAGGACTGTGGACAAATACTTACTCTGTGAGACATTTTCTGTGGTGATTTGTGCCTAATGGATGATATTAATTTATTAAGCCTAATGGTAAGATATCTTATGAAGAAGTCCTGGCTCCTTACTGCTTTTTTATTTTTTCTGTAATCTACTGTCAGCTACTGCTTGACTCCATCACTGCAGAAAGCAGGCTGGCTGTGTCACAGATGGTGATAGTGCTTCTTATTGACTGTCCTTTTCCTTAACAGAGCACTGTGCAGATTGGAAATCAACTACCTGGACTGAAAATGAAAAGCATCATTGTGGGAGGTGTGTCTGGAGACCAAGTCTCTGTTCAGCAGGGATTTTATGGATGTATGCAGGTATGAATTGAAGAGTGTAGCAATAGATTTTGAACTTGTGACGAAATACTCAGGTGAAAATGTGGGGGTTTCTTGTTCATCCATCCTCAAACATTTCTGTTTCCGTCATAATCTAAGAATCAAAGTATTAAAGTCTACCCATTTTCCCAAGTACAAATCTGATTGCACAGGGGAACAATACTTGAAAAAAAAAATCTGGGTTTGACTCACCAGGTGATGTTTCTTTAAATGTAGCTTCATCAATTAACAGAAGTAGGGAAACACATAGTACTGTACTCTGAACAAAGACTCTGATTTAAAAATAATTGTCTTTTGTCACCAGGGAGTAAGAATGGGAGAGACATCTACAAATATAGCGACACTCAACATGAAACAGGCTACCAAGATCAATGTGAAGGAGGGTTGCGAAGTGGATAACCCTTGTGATTCCAACCCGTGTCCCCAGCACAGCTACTGCAGTGATGACTGGGACAGCTACTCCTGTGTCTGTGACCCAGGTAATCTGGTGACCATCCTGTGCACTCATCCAGGAGATGGATCACACCTTCATGCACTCATCAGAAGCAGTGCAGCAGCAGAAGCATGCATGCAAAGTGTTCATCTTCTGATTTTTTTATTTTTCCAGTCAGTATTATCTTTCCCACTCTTATCCATAGCACTGTGAAACTGCAGTCATGGGCTGAGAATCTAGGCAACGTATCCACCAAACAGAAAGACAGTCTCTGGTCCAAAGGACTCCTATGCACCTCCCCTTTTCTTTTCTCTATTTGTTTTTCTACTTTTTATTTTCTTTCCCAGCCTTTTCTGCTGTTGAATTTCAGTCTCTCACTCTGCATCCTAATCAAGATACTTTGAATGTTTTCTCTGTTTAGGTGCATGGAGCCAGCACATGCTCTCAGTACCCGGCACAGTCACCTCCCATACACGAAGCAACAGAATACAAAACTATTTGTAGCACATGCCCTGAATATAAAACTGGGAACCAAAGGCACAAGGGTGTTCAAGCATGGTAACAGACTGTCAAAAAGAGCAGCCCACTATCGTTTTGGCTGTACAATTTTCCCATTTTGAGAAGGAAAAGAGTAACTTATTTCTGACAGTATCTTAGGGGGAATCTACTGATTATTGTAGATGTGTTATTAGTGTATAAGCTTAAGATAGACAGTCTTTTGGAGACATGCAAATCGTAAATTACAATGGTTGCTCTAACTTTATGACCTTGTCTCCCCAGGGTACTTTGGGAGAGACTGTGTTGATGTATGTAACTTGAACCCATGTGAGCATGTCTCCACATGTGTGCACAAACCCAGCTCATCCCATGGCTACACCTGTGAATGTGGACAAAGCTACTATGGACAGTACTGCGAAAGCAAGTAAGAGAATTATTTTGCTCTTGGTTTCTCAATCCTTCCAGGTAGCTCTTCTTCTAAGGCAGCAGTACTCTCACTTCCTTTTCCACTTCGGTTAACTTTCCTGTTACCATAAGTGTTCATAGTGGGTGGTATTTGCAGGCTCCCTGCCTTTTGGCATTCCTGAGCTCTTCCCAGAAACCAGACCAACTTCCATATTACTCAGGATACTAGTTCTTCAGCAGCAGCTCAGGGGCTCAACCAATTGTGTTGTGTTACACAGCACTGCATCTCACCTGTACCTTGTGGTGGACTGGCCTGAGTTTGTTTTGCATCTCTCCTGCAGCTCCCCCAGCACACAGAGCAATGAACCCAGTTTGGTGGCCCATAGCCGGATAAAATCAGTTTGCAACTAGTTTGGGTCCTGTCCCTGGACTGGCAAAAAGCCATCTCCTCTGGACAGTCTGGGAGCCTGTGTCTGTTGCTTTGTGGGAGAAACATGCTGATTCCCTCGTCAGCAACTTCCTGGCCTCAGATAAGCATTCAGCAACCAGCCTTATCCCAGAGGCGGCACTTTGATTTGCTGTAATATGGGCCATTCATGATGTGCAAATGAAGTGCATTTGTCTGCCCATTTAGGAATAGCTCATGTGATGTTTCCTTCTCTTTGAAAACTGCAAGCTTCTTCCTCTGCCTTTTGTTGTGTGGGCTTGCAAATGTTGGCCGTGTGGTTGCCAGATTTGTCTTTCATTCCTCTGGATTAGGGACACAGAGACATTGTCCCCTGTCATTATCTGCTGACATCATGTCAAGTTCAGCAGTGTGGTTTTCATATTCTAAAGCATAGAAGTACAAACCTGGCAATTACTGTAAACAAAATTGGTAGTGGTCTTCAAAACAGGTGGGAAATAGCTTTTCTTTCCTAAATTGAGCAGAAAGGGGATTCCTTGTGCTTTACGCTGATCACAGTCTCAGCAGTGTTGTCATTTAGGCTATTGCTTGACAAAGATTCCCAGCTATTAGAGACCCAGGTCACTGCCTCTGCCCCTTCCCAGAGGTCTCCTTGCCAGTACTAGTGTTGGGGCATCCGTGGGATAACCAGCTCAGAAGCTCACCCAGAATAAACAGTACCAGTGAAAATGAGGGTTATCCTTTGGCAGGGGTAGCATTTGGCTTGCCGCATAGCTTCCAATGAGCTGTGCTGCTGCACTCATAGTCTGAATCACAAGCTTTGATTCATAGTCTGGATCAAAGCTGCCACCCTTCCCTCTTCCATGTCTCCAACCACATGTGTCCTCTGCCTCCCCTATGGCAGACCAGGGCTTTTCAGACCCTGCAGTGAGCTGTCTGAGAAAGCCAGGTTAGCTGAAAGTAGTGGCTTTTCTTTGCACTTGAGCTGGTGTCCCTATAGGCTGGACAAGAAGCCATGCCACCCACGGCAGGGCTGGGGCAGGAGTCTTTGGGGATGGGGAGTGGGATATAAAGTGTTGGTTAGCTGTATCCCAAGGCAGTTTGTGGTGGTAGGTAAACCATGCACATGCTCAGTGTCACCTGCACTGGTAAAGGTTTAGAGGAGCATTGCCTCTAGGTTTTCATAGCACTGATATTCTAAATTTTCTTGTATTACAGTGCATATGTATTTATATATGTATTGGTTGTTGGCTGAGATACATTAATCTCCATAAGCTGATGGAGTTGAGTGCAGATTTGGCCCCAAGCTCTTTTTTTTCACACGTTTTAAAAGGAAACTTGAAAAACTTTCTTTCAATTTGATTTTCTTTTATAGGATTGACCTACCTTGTCCCAGAGGTTGGTGGGGAAATCCCATCTGTGGTCCATGTAATTGTGAGACCAGTAAAGGGTTTGATTCTGATTGCAATAAGACTAATGGAGAATGCCACTGCAAGGTAAGCAAAAGAAACCAGCCTTAAGTCAAAATTTCTTTAGTTTAAAAAGTAACTGTACTGCTAATAACTATGGGTGAGTATGTGAGGCAAAGTACACACAGTTGTGCTTTGTATCGTATATGTATGTGTGTGTGCACTGTGGAGTTAATCATTACCCAAAACATTTTGCTGGCACCACCCTTCTCAAAATCATAGTGTGCAGCTCTTATCTTGTTTGTGTTTGGAAAACCGAACTGAGAGGATGAAAGCCTGGCTCTGATCTCTGAAGTGCAGCCCTGTTTATCAGGTGAGATCAGACAGGGATGCAGAGGAGTGCCAGTGGTATTTTGTGTATCACAAGTGAGTAATAGTCATGAAACAGCTCAGGTCAGCTGGGTGAAGCTCCCCCCTGTGCAATGGCCAGCAAAAGGCCTAGAAGCTGGAGAGAGGTAAAGAATACGAGAGGCTAAATGTTTTCCTCGGTGCCATCTCTGACAAGTTTAAGAGGGAATTTCTGTGGACAGGCAGGGACAGATGGGGCACATGGGAGTGGAGGCACCTTGTAGTGAAAGTTTTACAAAAGACTTCTCACAATAGGTTTTACAATAGGCTTGAATGACATCAGAGGAGCTGGGCCTGTGCAGACTAGCGGCTGTGAATCCAGCCCCCTGCTCCTTTCCAAAATGCCAGCAGGATACACAGTAACTGTTGCATTAAATGGAGTCAGTGGGGTGCCAGCTCCACGCTCTTGTGCAATCACGTAGCGCCTCAGATCAAAAGCATGTACAGATACAATTTGAATATGTGATCATTGCTTCCTCTACACCCTCTACGTGAAACACAAATAGACAGTGCAAGAACTTTCCTTACTGGCTTGTTCATACCACGGAGTGGAATTGCAAAGCAGAGAAAACTGTAGATCCTTCAAGAATATATTTAGTTGGCACTGGCAGCAAGTGCTCAAGAAATAACGTGGGCCCTCTGCCCCCACTGCAAATGGCAGGGCAAACCCTGGGTCTCTGTGACACGGCAGCCCCAGCACTCAGCTCTGCCTCCTTGGCTTACCTGGGCTAACATTTTCTGATAGTAGTAATGTCATTTTTATCTGTGCTTTGCAAAATTAGCCCTTTTATGATGCACATGCTGCTAGAGCAGCATTTCGGAAATGTTGGTAATTCGGAACGTAAGTCAAATACCTTGTGTCTATCGTTTTGTTTTTTCTAGGCAAATTACTACAGGCCCCAGAACAGCGACACCTGCTACCCCTGTGACTGCTTCCCATCTGGCTCCCACACACGCACCTGTGACATGGAGACGGGACAGTGTCCTTGCAAACCTGGTGTCATAGGGCGTCAGTGCAACCGCTGCGACAACCCCTTTGCAGAAGTCACTGTGAGGGGCTGTGAAGGTACCTCCTGTCCAGCATGTGCTGCTGATCAGCTGGGCTGCAGCTGCAGGATCAGAGCTTCTGGCAGTGGGCAGGTGGGGGGACACAGTGGTGGCAGTGCAGCTGTATCCTGGGGCACGTGTGAACCCAGGAGGATGGCTCTAACAGAGGCAATGTGAGCTGCAGCAGCCTAAGCATGCACCCTTCCTCTTAATTCTGTGCCAGTATGTCTCATGGGGACTGGGCAAAAGCAAAAAAACTCCTTATCTTTTTAATTTTCTTCAAATGGAAGTATAGCAAGCTGGGACAGAGCAGGCAGGGAGCAAAACATGGAGAGCAAAACACTAATACCAATTTTTCTTTAAACCTGAGTTCATCTGCCAGCTCACACAGTGCAGTGTTGTATTGCTGAGCTGCAGATGAACAGGTGGGTGAGAGCCCTTGCACCTCGTGCACAGAGTGTGTGCCGTGCGCCTCGTGCACTCTGCCTTTCTTCCCTGTCTTGTCTGTCCTGCCTTTCCTCTCACCCACTCACCCACCCACCCTCCTCCTGTGATCAGCACAAAGCTGCTGCAGAAGCCATCTCACCACAGTGTGTGGGTGAAATGAAGGAGAAATGTTTTCCCACAATAAAGGAGCAAGCAGAGATAGACTGAGCCAAAATCCAGAGCCCCATAATCATCCCGAGCTCTCCTCTCCCTGTACGTGTCTACCCACTCTGCAGGATAAGGAGCAACTGATAGGTTACAGCTTGGAAGGCACTGCAGAGCACAGGTATCCTGAAAGGGCTTATGAATTACAGGAAGGTCCTTCAGATAAGTTGAAATACCTTCTTTTTGTGATTTTTGTCTTGTCAGCAAAATTGCATCATTTCTTTTTCTGCTTTCAGTAATTTATAATGGCTGTCCCAAAGCTTTCGAGGCTGGTATTTGGTGGCCACAGACCAAGTTTGGCCAGCCAGCTGCTGTGCCATGTCCTAAAGGATCAGTGGGTAAGTTCCCTGGGTAAATCATTAACTACTTTATCTACATACCTGTTTAAAGGGGGGGGAAAAAAAAGAGAGAAAAAAATGTGTACCTAAGGAATGGCATTAATTCATCGGGTCTAGAGACTGCAGCATAGCTCACGCATATCATGAGCAGAAAAGTTTAGCTAGCTGAAACCAAAGAACTGTTAAAATACCTTTGGAATACTAGCAATAAATAAATACAAAAGTGCAGCAAATAAACATGTACAAAGAACAGAAAATCTCTATTTTCCGAAAGGCACAGTCCAATGTTCTATTTTGTGTTTCTCAAGCAGTTCTTTAACATGTAACTTTTAGTTTCTAGTGACTTGTAATGTTCTTTTGCGATACAGCTCCTCTGGGCAAAGATAAAATGAGGAAAATCATATACGTGATGACTGCTTTACTAGCATTGCAGGCTAGTAAACTAAGAGTTACAGCAGAACTCATGTTTTTCCACTCAACGTCTTTTCTCTAACCCATAAGTGAGATGCTGAAAAGCAACTTTTTATAAAGCATGTGAGTTGTGTTGTTTTTTAAAACAGACAAATTACAACCTCCATTTTTATACATGTTCTGAAAACATGTATCAGATTTTTGAAAACAGAGTTTTCAATCCTTTCCTATGGCTGTTCTATGGAAAGTGAAACCTCTGTCTCGCTTCTGAGCCTGGTAACTCTGCTGTGAGTGCTTCTTAAGTTCAGTGAGTTATAAATAGTTATGTGACTGCCCCAAATATTACTGGGGGGAGGCCAATGCCTATAGGTGTGCAGAAGATTTATGGTCAACCGAGCTCATGTTCTGAAGATTTTAGGAGATAGAATTGATTTATTCTTTTTAAAGTGAAGACTATTTATATTATTAAATGTTATAAAGTTGAACTAAAATAAGCTTCCTGTACAGTTCTTGTGGTTGGCCCTGATGTCTCTTCTAGAAAATAGGCTAGCAGGCAAGGCTATAGGAATTCATAGGAATTGCACATTTTAAGTAAATTTTACAGAACATTCAAAAAAAAATAAACTATATAATAATGAGTATTCAGATAAAGAACTTGAAGCTTAATTGTATTCACCTAATTGTGGAATAGAAATAATGTAATTAGATACAGTAAAATTAATTATAATCCATATTTAGACATTGGTAATTAAATACTTTAGACACATGCAGTATGTTATGTGAAAAATAACTAGCACAAATGTAAATTTTGAATCTGTAACTTGCAGTTCACAATGAAGGATCCACAGCCAAGAATCACATTTTAAAATTATTTGACAAACAGTACAAAGTATAATAGGCTACATTAAACAGTAAGCTGCTCACAGTCCATTTACAAGTGGCAAAAAGGCAACTGTGCCTGTTGGCTGAAGTGTATAGCACATGCAGCATGTGGAGGTGCTGGCATGTGTTGACATGAGGACAGCATTTATCCAAGAGGTCTTCCTATACAGGCTATTGCACAGAAATGTGAGCAGGGATTGGTTTTCAGGAGTACTTAGGAAGTGCAGTGTTTCTCGTATTTGGTATAAATAAATGAATTAATTTGACAACATCAGGGCAGTGAGGCTAAGAGCTGAGTTGGCAAGCTTGCAGCTTGCCTGACTTTTCTCTGAAGCCTGGGGAAAATGTTTCATGAAAATGAGTAGTCTTTAACTTTTCTCTGACAGGAATCTCTGGTTTGGAAATTCAAATACATATGTAGCTGTAAGAATCCTGAAAATGTAGGAAGTCTGAAAGCTTAGGGTGGTTGAAATCTGTGAATATGCATCCCACACAGTTCAGAGCATTATTTGCTATTGATGCTTTGTTTCCTTCAGGAAACGCCGTTCGCCATTGTAACATTGAGAAGGGCTGGTTGCCTCCTGAGCTTTTCAACTGCACCACCAACACTTTTGTGGATCTAAAAGTCATGGTAAGCTGTGTTGGTTTTCTTTTTATTTTGTAAAAGATCATCGGTTCGGACTCTTCACTGCACTCAGTCTTTTGACTGAGTCTTTGAACCCCCTCGTTTTCCATCAGGACCCTTGCACTTTTCTGGCTCTCATTTACATTTGCCCTTGAGTTTTGTTATCAACCCTTTCTCAAGACAAGCAAAATTTTGATCTAACAACTCCCATGTGTCAAAAATCCCTGAATTATGATTGTCTTTGTAACTAGAATGAAAAAAAAAAAAAAAGAGATACATTATTGGGTTTTTTCATCCTTCCCGTCTTTGATTCAGAATGAGAAGTTACACCGCAATGAGACCAAGTTGGATGGGGACAAAACCATACGGATCGCGAGAGCGCTGCACAATGCCACCAAATACACACACAGCTTGTATGGCAACGATGTGAGGACAGCTTACCAGATGATGATCCGAGTACTCCAGTATGAGAGCCAGCAGCAAGGGTTTGACTTGGCAGCCACAAGAGATGTGGAATTCAATGAGGTAGGAGAGTTACTGTATACTGAGCCCTTATAGTTTGCCTTAAAAGATAGATTGCAATGGATAATTAAATTTGTCTTTCACCAGGGTGCAGCAAATATCATGTAATTGCTTAATCTGTTTCACAGATAAGCCAGTCTTCTCAATTTAGAATGGAAGGTTGGTTATTCGTGTGTGTATGCACGTGTATGTGTATGTAATACAAATATAATGGAAAGTGCTCCTCTAATGAATACGATCATAGTAACAGCCAAAAGCAAGATTTCCCATATGAAAAAAAAAAAAAAAAAAAAAGTGTTATTCCCGGCTAAAACAGTTTTGTGTACTGTATTCAGTTTTATTGTAAAACGTACCTAATGTGATCATGTTCATTTAAATGTGCAGTGAACTAAGTCTGAGCCAGTTACTGACTCTGAAGGTTTCCTCTAATTCGGTTTGAAAACACTTGAGTCATAAGTTGGTACATTGAAAGACATTCCATGTCATATTGATATTTTATGGCACATACTAAAATCCATGCCAGAGAGCTTCCGCTGGCCAGAGCATTCACAGAAGGCCCAATTATTACCAAAGACCTGGTAACACCTAGTGACCAAGTCACTGTTCACAGTACTCCATGAGGACCAACCAGGTCAGGCAGACTTTGGGGTGAACTTGGAGACCCTGTGCAAGGCCAAGCTGCACCAGAAGAAGGTGTCACTGGGGAGGTAAGAGCAGGAGAAAATGTGGCTGAGAAAATTCCTCAGTGTCTTGGGCTGTACAGTCTACAGAGAGCGGAGAACTTCTGAAATGTTTAACATTTGAGATGCACCAGATTTTGAGAGATTCATTTTTTCCTTTCTTGTGGGCTGGGAAGTAGATGAATTCTCCCATTCAGATCTTGAGAAGGAACTTCATTTTTAGTGTATTTTGTTAAGTAAAAATTAGAACAATAAGCAAAAAAGAAATGGTCTGGAAATCTTGGTTTAATTTATTGTTCTCTGCATTTGGCACTGAAATTCATGAAAGATGATGTTTTCAAGAACTCCCTAAATATTTAAGGATAGGTAGGAATTTGAAAACTAATGGATACAGTTCATGAGAAATAGGAGGTAACAGCCTAGGCTGAAGGAGCACAGAGGAAGAGGAATTTATTTTTTTATAGTCTCAGGTAGAAGCCTGAAAAATAGATAATAGAAAACCATAAATAATATTCACTAACATGGAGGAGGCCTGGTACCAAGTACTGCATATGTCTCCTGAATTCCTGGGAGCCATGTCACCCTTCTCACCTTAGCTTAAGGTGTCATGCTGGCAGTCTCTTTTAGCTCAGATATGTGCTTGCAGCCTCAGACAATAGAGGATATAGCTTCTTCTAAATGAAGCCTAAATATTTGCCTTGACTATTTTAGAGCTTGAGGTGATCAATTCCTACCATCATTTACTCAAATTTTACCTTAGTTAGGAGTTAGGTTTTGTTACAACAACGTAGTTCATATGTTCACCAAGACTAAAAACTTCTTAGCACCTCTCCCATTTAAGCCATTTAACACTCTCTTTTGGGGTCAATCTTCTTCCATTCAGCCTGAGGGTCTCTTTGCATATTCTTCTAAGAAAGGGCAGAAGGGAGAGGTCCTCAGAAAGAACTTCCTTTTTAAGCAACATAAAAATTGGGAAACAGTAACATGGTTTAAGTTTTCCTATGTATTTTCAAGTTTTTCTGGGGAAGTTAATACTCACTTTTGTAATTTTTCACCATATAAGTTGTCTTTGTTACCCAGGAAACAACAAAGTAAAAAAAAAATATTAAAATAAAAAAGGAAGTCATATTGCTATCTGTGGCTTTCTTTTGTTTTTCAGCAAAAAACGTTATTTTGATTTCTCTGGGGGAGTTCTTCAGTGTACCAACTAAAAGCTGTGCTTTTTGTGTATCTTATCTCTCTGAGACAAAGAAAACATGGTTAGGTTTTCCTTCTGCATTTTCTTGCTAAATTTCCTGTCATTAACGGGAGAGTAGGCAGTTTTCTTACAGCCTCCAATTTTGGCTTACATTGCTCATAAAAAGTTTGGAGGGATTTGCTTTATGTTACAAAAAAACCTCAGGGTGAGTAACTGGTGTGCATATTTTCATACGGCTGCAGTAGAACATGCCTGCATTAAAATATTTCACTGTACGCTCACCTAAGGCAGTAATGCCAATCATTTTCAATATTCCTCACTTGAAACCCAGCACTTTGTTTGCTTCATAATTTAGGCTTGTACTTTATTTCTCAGAATATTATCAAAGTGGGCAGTGCTTTACTGGACCGCAGCAACAAGGAGCACTGGGAGCAAATTCAGCGAACGGAGGGTGGCACCGCTCATCTGCTCAGGCACTATGAGGAATATTTCAACAACGTGGCCCAGAACATGAAGAAAACCTACCTGAGACCTTTTGTAATTGTTGCCACTAATATGAGTGAGTATCTGTGCTGAAAACTGCCATTTGGTATTAGTTTTTAAAATGTGCTGAATAGAGGTGCTAGTTATTTGTTTTAGTAGTACCCACTGAGAAAAATCATTGCGTTCAAGTCCACTGAGCCTTGATCCATATCTCTCAGTTGCCATGGGGGGTCTCCTGGGAGATGTCTCATCTGTTTACCCTCTGGGCCGTGTTCCCTCCATGCTCCATGTGGCATTTTTTGCAGTCACAGTAGCGTAGAGATAGTAGGAAGGACTAAGTTTGTATGTAAAGGTAATGCCTTTTGGGACCAAATAGTATAGTTGAATGTAGTAAATCAAGTTTTTGAAAGAATCACACCACCACCACCTGAAGAATTACTGCAGGACAAAATAAGCAACCCAACTATTGATCAACTATTGCATATTATTGATGTGATTAGCATAGGAATGGACTGCACAGGAAGGTGCTGGAGTCACTATCCCTCGAGGTGCTCAACAAATAGCTGGACATGGCACTTAGTGCTATGGTCTAATTGACAGTGTGATGATCAGTCAAAGGCTGGACTCAATGATCTTAGAGGTCTTTTCCAACCTAAATGACATGCTGATTCTCACATGCCTTCCTAGACTGGAACATATCCAAAAAGCCAGCTTCTGTAGAAATTCCTGTGTTGAAAGATATCTTCTTGGAATCACCCATCCAGGCGTTCAACCACCCTCCCAGTCTTGCGAAAGGCATAATCAGAGCAAAATCCTTGGGATCCAAAATATCCAGAATGTGCCTAAACTGAGAAGGAAACATCAGGCATACCAAGACACCTTTGGCACCTATCACGGGGAATGTCTCCTCTGAGAAGCAAATAGCAGTTCCTCCACTTGTAGAACTGGGATGTATTCCATAAATGTCCCTGCTGTACATGTGTGAGTGAAGCACAACAATCACAGCCTGGTCAGCTTCTTTCATCATTTTCTCCCCTACCCCCTCTATTTCATTTTCTTTCTGGGTACCAGCAATCTGAGCTGATCAGTCCTGCTTTGAGCAGGAGGTGAGATAGAGCTGGGTGACCTTCAGAGGTGCCTCCCAAGCAGCATTGCTCTATGGTTTTTCTTTCAGAGGTGCTCTAAACTACTCTCAACCTGAACTCATATTTAGCTTTTCAAGCTATTGCTTCTATTTCAGACCTGAAGAAGGGCTTATGTGCCCAAAAGTTTGTCTTAGTTTCCCAGCTGCACCCATTGCCTACAAAACTTGTCCTGGAATGCTTCATGTTCCTTGGTCACAGTGGCATAAAACCAAAGGCATGAGATAGTCAAGTTACAAAGGTTTTAATGTCCTGCAAATGCTTTGGGGGGTGGGGACAGACTATTGTTGAACTAAGCCAAACTGAAACATTTTGGTTTCTGCCATGAGAATCAAAATATTTTTATCTTCCTACTCAGAAAAAAAAAGTATGCTCAGCATTTTAACCCACCTAAACTGAGATGAAAACAAACCCCAGAATTTCTTACAGGCTGTAAATCATGATTTTTTATTAACCAGTTCTTTCTGTGTAAAAAGGTGTGAGCTTGGGAGGGGTGAGGCAACTCTGGCCTGAAAGGGGTCTGTTTTCCTTTGAACAGTTTTTCCAGGTGAACATGGTGTTAATAGAGTTTCCTAATGTCTCATCTGGGAGTTATTTAGAGACTGGTAAAGGAATGGGAATTTGCAGATCTTAACTTGGATATTTCTTCATACAGAAACTTGTAGTGGATCACAGCTTTCAGTGTAGGGTTACCCCCGGGACTTCCAGCTTTTCACTTTTATTAGAACATGTAAATTGGCACTCAGTGACTTCTCTTAAATGGGAAAGTTAAAGCCAACTCAGCTGCTTTTAAATATTTTGGCAGTTAGACAACAGGCAGAGATGATGAGGTGAGCTAGGGAGAAACTGCTGGTGTGAAGGAGGGAGAACTGGAGAACTAAGGAGTAGTCCCAGATAAAATCCGGGTTATTTTCTTTGCTTGGCTGACTTTACAATATAACAGATGTAGAAGAAGTATGTTTTTGAAGCAGAAGATTTAGTCTTCCCATTAAGAAGCAAGTCTAAAATTGGAACATGCAGCACATGCTGGAGCAAGCCAGCAGCACGCAGAGAAGCTCTGTGAAGCAGGAGCATTCACTGAACGGCAGCCAGGGAAAGGCCTTCACGAAACCACAGTCAGCTGCTGCTGGAGAAGTACCAGCTAAGTGATCTGCCTAGAGGTGGATATTAGGATATTCTCTGAAAGGGTGGTCAGGTATTGAAACAGGCTGCCCAGAGAATTCACCATCCCTGGAGGTATTTAAAAGATGTGTAGATGTGGCCCTTAGGGACATGGTTTAGTGCTGGACTTGGCAGTGCTGGGTTGACAGCTGGACTCCATGATCTTAGAGGTCATTTCCAACCTAAACCTTTCTGTGATTCTTTATTTCCAGTGCTTGCAGTAGTGTTTTTCTAGTACGAGATACTGTCTTGTGAATTCCTTTCCACTGTGAAATACATGTATAATTTGATAAATGTAACATAATGCTGACATGTAAGCTTTTAATTGTCCTATAAGGCATTAATTGAAAGAAAATAAATTTTACTTTGTATTTTTGGGGTTAAATTTCTTATCTGCATTGTGCAGGTATTTTAACCTTTCAATCCTGTTTCATTGTGTTGCAATATCATATTTGAAAGCATTGAAGTTAATTTTATGGGAAACTTTTCCCCCCCTCAGTTATTGCTGTTGACATCTTTGACAAGTCTAATTTCACGGGAGCTAGAATACCACGATTTCATGAGATTAAAGAAGATTACCCAAAAGATCTGGAGTCATCTGTTGTCTTCCCTGATACTTTGTTCAGACCTTCAGACAGGAAAGGTAAAACTCTTCTGCTGCCATTTGGAGAGCAATTATAACTAGTTCCCAAGGAGCATGATTGATCCTCACAAAGCAGAGTGGTACTGGGGTGAGAGCAGGGTCTGCACAAGCAAACATTATTTAAGGATGGAGCAGCTGTGCATACTTGTGAGGCATTTTGCTTGCCGGCAGCAATGGGAGCATGGGGGGCTGTGTAACTGGCTGTACCTGTCTGTCAGGTCTTGCTTGCAGCCCCTCCAACAGCCCTGTCAAAGCGGGAGAAATGCTCTGCCTCTGTTCCCACCAGGATAGGATGGGACGGCTGCCCAGAGCCTGCAGTCCCACAGCTGCCTTCCTCCAGTCACTGCAGAGATGGAGGGATGTGGTGTGAGAGATGGAGAATCCAAATTTGGGAGAACAGACATGTTATCAACAAAAAAGTCGTAAGCTGAGTGATTAGGGAAAATACGTGCGGAAGTACCCACTTCCCAGTCTCTGAAGTACCTCAATATTGCTGAGAAGCACCACAAGTTTCCTTGGGCAAGAGAAGAGGGAGAAACTCGAAGTGCAATACACATACTGTGTCTGAATATCCTCTGAGTGAGGAAATAGTAACACTTGTGAAAATAATACGTAATAAGCTCATACAGCTTTATGACTTTTTGCTCTTAAACAGGGCATCTGTTTGTATGACTTGTACCTTTTCTATAAGAAAAAAGGGAAAGTGACTTTTAAAAGATACTGTCAAACCTTATAGCTCATTTTATGACAGAATTAGCTTGGAGAAATCCTGTGTGACTAGTTGGTGTATTCATAACACTAGTTCTGCCATATATAAAGGTACATGCAATTTAATAGCATGCATATTGTTTTAATGTTCTCCTTAAGTTATGCATGGGGTATTTATACACTTATGGATCTTTTAGCTTAGAAATTTCTCATTTTCTAGCTAGACTAAATGTTTTTTCATAGTTCAGTGGTTGATTATCAGCTATATAACTGTGAAATGTGCTAAAATTTTATTAAAAATGTCAAATAGAACATTAAGAGCTTGCTGAGCCCAGAGTTATAACAACAGTAACATCTCTGTATCTTTACAAAGAAAAATTACCCGTTTAAATGGTAGCTCTGAAGCTGTGTGAAAAGAATTTAATATTTGTGTTAATTCCATAGCAGTGCCTACAATGAAGCCTTCAAATCAAAAAATATCCTCTAAGTTGAACAGTGGTGTGTTCAGCCCTGAAAGTGCTTTTGCAAAGAGAAAGAAGCGACACCCAGAGGACTCAACACATCATACTGTTGCCATGGTCATTATATACCGATCCCTGGGGCACCTCCTGCCTGAAAACTATGATCCTGACCGAAGGAGCTTGAGGTAAACCTCAAACCTGTTTGTGAATAGTGCAGATCCCTTCTTCTACTTCCTCTGAGTGTGTGGGGGAGACAGAGCTGCTTTTATGCCGACCGTCATGTCGGTATAATGTCATCAGTGCTGCAGTTGTCACCGCAGTACTGCCTCTTGTCCTCTTCTGGCCCACTATAGGAGAATAACCATGTTAGAAGCGCCAGCAGCTTTTGGTCTTTGTGGAAGGCTGACGGTGCATCTACTTTGCTTTCTGAGTGGAAGTGACTGGAAACCTTTTATTTGGACAACTTAGCGAGTCAGTGCTTTGAATTTTCATGTTTTGATCATTGTGCAATTTTTCTCCTTGTGCAGATTGCCAAATCGCCCAATTATTAACACACCTGTGGTGAGCACAGCCATTCACAGTGATGGGGAGTTTCCTCCCAATCTGGTGGAAAAGCCCATCATAGTGGAGTACACCATGCTGGAAACGGAGGAGAGAACGAAGCCTGTCTGTGTCTTCTGGAATCATTCCATCATGTATGTCTCCTGCTTACTTTAGGGCTATGAGTGACAACTGTCTCAGTAGCAGAGAAGCCCTGCCTAGGAAGATAATTCTGGAGGAAAACCCTTTTTGCTCTGTTTATTCAACTGGCAATTGTTTTCTGGTGAAATAGAGCCATATATTTCCCACCAACCTGAGAAAAATTGAAATAATTATCCTCAAACAAAGGATTAGCCATGTAGTTTCTAACAAACACAATGCTGTCGTGACTTTCTGCAGGGTTCAGTTTCACCCAGCAATAATAAATCTCACAATTTCCTTGTATTTGCTCATGCTTTTTGCTCACAGATGTATATGTGGACAGGCACAGTCTGGCTCCAGTGTTTGTATTTGTGGCTTGTCTGAAGTCTTTAAGTCAGGATCTCCAGGAGATGATTCAGCTCTTACATGGGCTGAATCTTCTCCTGTTACATTCCAGTGATTATGGACAGAGTATATGGCAAACAGGCACCCATCCTCGGTACTTCAGCCAGGGCCAGTGTAAAAAATTACAAAACTAAATCTTCATGTTGGTAAAAAGGAGGACTGAGGTTTTGCAGATAAAATTATATGAGTAAAGGTTTTAAATTTCTGAATCTCACAGTTTTGTATCAAAAGTCAATGCAAAGGCAGTTGCACTGATAAGAAGCAACTTACTTTTCATCAGGAATTGTGGATGTGAAAAACTGGAGGGAGAGGGACCTGTTATGGGACCTCAGACCTCTTCCAGTTGATGGAAAGCAATTGTAATACATATTGCAGATAAGCAGAATATAAGGAGAGAGTATATGACTCTCTAGGAGGCAAGTGTTAGGAAAAAGATGAAATACTATGAAAATGACTCATTTAGGTCTTTTGTATTGAGTGAAGTTCAAGAGGAAGACATATTTTTCTTGAAAATGAGAAAAATTATATTAACTATAACAGTGTATGCTGATGTTTTGATGAGTTTATGGCATTGCGGACACAGCACAGTCCTGATGGAGATATTTCAAGCATATGGATGAAACAAAAGAAATCGTGTTGAGAAGTAACCACATGGTCTGCATGTTATGCTTTCACAATATTGTTACTATTACATATATCTTGCAATTTCCAGCTACAAACTTGGGTATATAGTGAGAGGTCTGCCTAGGGTAAGGGGAATAGCTATTACTTGTTTCCTAGTAACCCAAAAACTGTGGAAAAATCCATTACAAGGCCATATCCTGTGCTGGAAATGAAAAAGCAAACTAATGTAGGAAATGTGTGCCTCCTGGTCAAAGGCTTCAGGAGATTATGTCATTGAAAGGATCGAAGAGGCAATGCAAATCTCTTGTGTTTGCAATAATAAACTACTCCATTTGCCTGGATGTGAAGTAGGCAAATGTATTTGCTTGTATACACAGATGATTCTGTCAATTATGAGGGAATAGCAAGTCCTTTTCATAAATTTTTAAACATTGTATGGGCTTGAATAACTCATTAGCTCTAAAGTGATTCATCTGTTAGCTATTTGCTGGCAACATCAATGGCATTGTTGTCTGTGTTACGTCTTCCTACAGCCACAGTTGAAGAGCAGCTCTTACACTGCATGTAATGAAAGAGATTTTAGAAAGCGAGTACTTTCCAAGAGAAAGTGATATTAAAATTGTGTAACAAATACTTTATTGCTGAATGAAAAAGAGGTCCTGTCATGTCTAATTAAAAGCTTTTTCAGTAACTACGAGACTATTTCTATTACTCATTAATTTCAAAATAGAATAATTAATATTGGTACAAAATAATTTACAAAGTCACTGGAGTTAACCAAAACTACACAGGGAAGAATTGTTAATACAAGAGAGCTCTTGAAATGAAGTATTATTTATTAGAGAAGGGTTTAGCCTTTTCTTTTGTACTTTTCAGAGGAACACTATAACAATATCATATTACTGCTGAAACATATTTCACATAAAAGCTCTACAGGCAGTGTCTAGATCTGGGAAGTAGAGATGGCTCAAAAACATGTATGTTCCTGTGGTTTTAGTATTTCTACCTTTGTTACAGCCAATTTTTTTCTGTGCAATCTGTTCCCCATATTGTTTGTGTGGTCACCGATCCAAAAGCAAAGTTTTACAATTTTTTTCCTTTTAAAGTCAAACGAGGTTGTTCTAATCTAAACCCACAAAATTTGGCCATGAATGCCAGCTGTCTTATCAGAAACTACTTAAACTGAAGGTTTTTTAAGTTGATTATACTCTTTCAGGCAGGTGACAGCTATAAATATTTCTGTCTTGGTACTTACAATCTTGTCTGGTTGCATAGCTCAAGCTCCCACAGAGAGCAGTAGCAGCAGGAGGCAGGGGGAGATCAGAGGATTACTCTCTGAAATACCTTTTTTCCCCACAGGATTGGCGGGACAGGTGCCTGGTCCTCCAGAGGATGTGAGCTGTTTTCCAGAAACCAGAGCCATATCGCTTGCCAGTGCAACCATATAACCAGCTTTGCAGTCCTGATGGACATATCAAAACGAGAGGTGGGTGACATCAGACTCAGGATTTTTGAGGGGTTTGGTTTTCAAGGGCTTTCATTCAGAGCCTGAGCTTTGAGTGTGGCTCAGACCGTTGTCAGCAGATCCATCCCCTGTTGCAGTGTTTTTGCCTGTCCCTGACAGCACCTGCCATTGGGACTGCTGAAAGGAGCTTCCCACCTGGTCAGTGCATCCTCTGGGTGCTGCCCATACGCACTCAACATGTTGAATGACTAAAGAGGTGGCATCATCCACTCCTGTTGGTCCTAAAGTAAATCTGTACGTTGGCTCAGTAGTAATGAAAACACTGGCATTCCAAGTAGTAGATTTGATTGGAGGAAAAAGAAGAACTCCAAGAGAGCCTGTCAATCTGTCTTTCTACAGAATGGAGAGGTGCTTCCTCTGAAGATCGTCACTTACACAACCGTATCCATCTCGCTGGCGGCTTTGCTGATCACCTTCATTCTGCTGGTCCTGATTCGCACACTACGTTCCAACTTGCACAGTATCCACAAAAACCTGGTGGCTGCCCTTTTCTTCTCCGAGCTTGTCTTTCTTATTGGTATCAACCAGACCGAGAACCCGGTAAGAGTTACTCTGTGCTTATTGCTAGAGTTGTTGTCAAGTTTTAAGTTGCAACTTTTACCTACTTCTGTTTCACTTTCTTTTCTTTTTCACTCTGGCTTCAACAGTAATTATAAATAAATCAGATTTTTAATCTATTCATGTGTGGTTTACGTGATTAATAGCAATGGCAGGCAATAGGACTGTATCCTATTTTCAGAGAATATATGACAGCAGCCCTGTTGAAGGCTTATCGCAGGAACCAACCCCGAATACTGATTTCTTCCTTGCTTTCATGTGTTTTCTGTCTTGCTCTGTCTGTTCAGTAGGAGGGTCTCCAGTTCCTCCTGCCACAGGTACTTCACAAGCCCAGATGGCTTTTGGTGTTGACTGGTAGGTTGACAACTATGTGTTGCTGGGCAGGTGCCAGTATGCATGTTGCACATCCAATGGCCATTCTGGAGAAACCACTTGCCAGGCATGGGACAGCTTGCTACATCCAAGATTCAGTAGGAAACCTGTCGTTTCACTTTGTGCCTTCCAGCCACAGTGATTATTGGCTTCAACCCATCACATCTGTTGACAAAGCTCAGTGCAGGCACCTCCAGCTTTGTGCATGTTAAGAAAGACAAGATATGAATGGACTGAGATATATACACTACACATGAAGTGTGTATGTTCTGTGCTTAGGACCTCACTGCTATCTCAACCATGTGGCATTTTCCATGGTATTGCTGCTAGTTCTTAGTAACATCCATCCCAAAAGTGATGGCTGCCATGCAGACAGGTAGGAGACAGACAGGCAAGGGTTCCAGCACTGCACGGTCACCTGTACCAAACAGCCAGTATGCAGATGGGGGATGATAGGCAATAAAAAGCATGTCCATAACAGATAGGAAGAATATTCAAAATGTTACTGTAGGGATGATCTGAACACTGTGAAGAAAATGTGTCTTATAGAAATCCATTACTATACACGTTTCAATCTAAATTTTGAGAGGGAGATACAGTCTTGAGATGAAAACAAACAAACAAAATCTTACTGATTCCACATTGTCCAAGCAGCAGAAATGGGAGAATATACCTACATTCAATGAATATCGTTGTCACCATCATGGTAATGACACCATGGTGCCTGACCACACAGTTTTCCTTGCTGTATAACTTAATCCTAAAGTGTCACTCTGGCTTCTAATATCCATTTGAGCTATAACATACATTTTAGAAAGTATCTAACCTTGAATAATTTCAGCTTCTAGCAACTGAGTGCTGACAAGGCCTTTTCCTAGTAAATTTAAGAACTCTCTTATAAAAATTGTCTTGCCAGAAAGCCTCTGTTTAATAGTATTTCTTTTGGAAAACTATATAAAATTAGGCTGCTTAAATTCCTCAATCTCCAAGATTCAGGTTACTCTGTTGCTTTTTTTTTCTGGGCTTCTTCTCCCACTTTAGCTTTTGAAAATTTGTGAATGCCAAACTGGATGAAGCTTTCCAGCTGGTTGTGTTACTTCCAGTCCCATATTCCAATATTCCTCTCTACCAGGAGCTCAGGTCCCTTATCTGCTGCTTTGGGGAGATCCTCTGCAGTGACCTGCCCTCTGGGATATGGTCTTATATCATGTGTGAACTCATGTTGTCTTTGTTTCAATATATGTGAGTTTGCATATTAAAATAACTTTGTTCAAAGGAGCTCACCTTGCCAATTGATCCACAGCACTTCATGTAACTTGACCTTTCCCGTGCCTTGCTGAGTGCACCACTCATTTTTCACTGCATTTCCCTGGCAAGGAGGTTATTCTCTTTCAGTTCTCCAACATGAATACCAAGGGGTCAGGGGCCAAACCCACATCCCTACAGAATTTTGCCAGAAATTATGCAGTAAATGATGGCTCCTCATTTCCAGATTTTTTTCAAAGTATCATGAAACACCAAGCAAAGGTTTATAAAAGTAGTAAAACAGTTCATTACATCAATACCATAAATCCTAATGTCTGTACTTGGTGAGATTGTTCTCTTTTGCTCCTTCTCATTTTCCTACTTTGGGGCTCATGATGTGATCGTGTCCTGTGCTGTTACCAGGACTCAGTGAAAGACCCCAAACTTTTAACCCACTTACAAATATCTCTAAGTTACAGCAGAAAGCTGCTCCTTACAGCCTACTCAGTCAATCTGAGAAGGTAGGAGGGCTGTAAGCCATGTCTGCCTGAGACAATTATTCATCTGTCTGTATGGAATGAGAGTTGTCTAACGAGTCATGCACTGATGAACATAAAGAAGTGAAGAATGCCGGAGCACAAATAATGCCGTACTGCTTGGCACCCAGCCTGGTTTTTATGGGTTTCTGTAAATTAACAGTCACATTTCTGGGCGAGGTTTTAATCTTTCCCTGGACTATTGATAGAAAGTGATTTATTTTCTTTCTTTTTTCTTACCTGGAGAAGGTAATGTTCAGGGCAGCACTCTACTAATGTGCATGTGAGAGTAGGAACAAAAAAAGCGCTGCTTACCCAGAGGGAAGAAAGATGGTTTATTTGGTGAGCTACATTTTCAATAACACTCAGTGTTATAACAAAGCTGATACATTAAGTGAATCCAGAAAGCTGGCAGTCTTTGTGTGATTCTTTTGCTCAGCAAAGTTAAACAGGGAAATGTACATTTCTGAGCATTATACCATGAAAAACCACTGAAAAGTCATGTCAAAGTCTGAAAGCAGGGTCAGTGCTGCACGGAAACAAAAGGTTCCAAAATACAATGTAAAACTTTTTAAACAAAAATTGAGTGGTTGCATAGAGTGCTCTTAATTCAAGCTTATCAACAGATCCTTGGCAATATCCTTTACTTTGCTGCTGAAAGGAGAAAGTTAATTGCTAGATTCCAATTCAGGTATTGTATGCTTGTGGTCAGTCATTCCTGTTTTCACCCATCGAACTGTTAAGTTGGAAGAGAAAACTGGTTAGCAGATATTACAGAAATGCAAGTCTTTGAAGGTCAGAGGTTTCAAGGTGGCTATTTGATGACAAAGTTGAGTTCGGCTACCAGTTTGCTCATTGTAGCTGTTACTCCTAGTCACAGTGAGGACCTGGTTGCTTTGGTTTCAGCAGGTCCTTTATTTTTGCTGTTCTCAGCCTGGAAGAGCTTAGTGGTGCACTTTGTGCTACTGATGTAGGATAAAAAAGCAGGACTAAACTTTGGACTGGAAGCTCCAAGTCCCTTTGTTACTAGTGAAGACACAAACTACCCAGTCAGCACTACCCTGCTTTCTCTTTGTCCTCATGGCTTCAGTGCGTGACTGCAAGTAGCACAGCCTCAAGAGGAGGGTAGAGGCCAGCATTTCTAGACCCAGATTATCCTACAGCCTGGTGGTTAGGGTGGTTTTCTGTAGTGAATGAGAAGAGGGTTAGCTCCCCTGCTCAAGCCAAGTAGAGCCTAGAAACCACTCTCCCATTTTGTAGTCAAATACTCTGATTTTGACATTAAGTGAAAGACTGGTCTGCAAGATAGGTGGTGATCTACTTCTGGCTGCATCTTTTAGTCTGGTGATAATAGCCAGGTGTCCTCCATGACTTGTTGAAGTATAGATGTGCAAGGTCTGCAGGGTTCATCAGTAAAGGGCAGGATGCAAGGATGAAAGCGATGGCCACTACCTTACCCCATGGATGCTTCCATGCTTTTGCTTCTCAATGCTTTTTTTTTTTTTTAAAGAGTCCCAGAAGAGGAGATGTAGATGGAAGAGACTTTTTCAGACCTGTGACACAGACACATAGGGGCAAAACAGTCTGCTTGTCTTATGCTGGATTATAAGATCCTGTCACATTTTGCCTATTTGTGACATTTCATTTCACTGATAAGAAATTTCCTCAAAGAAAGGGTGGATTTCTTCTACAGATCATCCATTGCTCATGTTCAGCACATTCATTTTTCCTTGCCTGAAGCTCCATGGATTTCTGTCCCCAAGAACTAAAGTTTTCTTGAGAAAGAAAGACTTTCTCAGGGACAAGTCCTAAACTGAAGGCCTAAGATCTTCTCACACCTCTCTCCACCTCTGCCAAATAAAAGAAGACTTGCTTTGTACTTTCTGATCTGCTAATAAAACAAAAAACATAGTCTACTTTAAAACAAAACAAAACTGTACCAAAAAAGCATACTTCCTTGGACAGAGATCTTTCTGTCTGGAAAGAATGTAGTATGGGAAAAACCCATAGAATGGCCCTTGATATGGCAGTGGGAGACACTGAGTCAGTGCAGGGCTGAGAGTGGCTGTTCTTAGGAGTAATTTCTTGATTTAGCAGTGAGACTGGTTTAGCTGATGCAGTTAAACATGCTGTGGTTGAATTCCCTGTAGTGGCATTGTGCAGCTGAGACTCATACACCAGGCAGGGCAGAGGGTCTGGTGTATGCAACCTCCAGAGTAGCATCCTCGTCTCCTGCTCCATACCAGGAGAAAGAGCCAGGAGCTCTTCCAGCCCTGCCCCTCCTGCAAGCAGAAGAAATCCTGTCAGAATAGCTCATATCCTCACCTTTGCAGCAAATATTCACAGTGGAACAGAATCCCTCAGAACAGGGAGAGCAAAGGTAGTAAGTGAAAGTGTGTTGGGTTGATAGGGTGAAGCTGAACCAGCCTCGGGTGACATAATTTATTTACTTTAAAAAAACCAGCTTTCACAGTATGAGTAGCTTTACTTAAACTCTGAAAAACATAATTAATGGCAGTATATTTGTTCTGCCAGGTTCTTTTTATTACACTTGCCATTAGCTGCACAGGGGAACCGGTGACTCACCAGGTTGTGATTCAGAAGAGCAACTCTAATTTCCCTGTCCTTTCCCTTCTACAGTTTGTGTGTACCGTGATTGCCATCCTCCTGCACTATTTCTACATGAGCACCTTCGCGTGGATGTTTGTGGAGCAGCTCCACATCTACCGGATGCTGACTGAAGTGAGGAACATCAACTTTGGGCACATGCGGTTCTACTATGTCGTCGGCTGGGGCATTCCTGCCATCATAACAGGTACCCTCAACCACCCCAAAACAGCTTTGTTTCCCTTTATTGGCTAAATCCCAGGAAGTTATCCCATCCAAGACAGTTAGGGGTGTTTGCCTGACTCAGGGCAACAACAAGAAGTCATGTCTAGCAGAAGTAAGCCTGAATTTGGCAGATCTGTGTACCGAATGTCTGTTACCCCAGTTGAAATGATACTGATGGTTATGCAGTAACATAAACATATATGCACCCCAATTAAATCAGGACTTGATAACATTGCTTAGAAATAACAGTATTTTTATTCTAACAACTTCACCCATAGCTTTCAGCAGTTTTTCTTCCCTGTACTGGTAACTTACAGATACAGACACATGGTCTCTCAGGGAGGTAGCTGAAGTGGCTTCAGAAGCAGTGCTGTCCACAGGACATCACTGGACATTCCACTGCTACCCTCGAACAGCAGTAAATGCTATCTGAGGGATTTCAGTGGTTCCATTTTATTTGGCATAAAAACAAGCTGGGACTACTTAAGCAACCTTTTACTTCATTTCAGACACAAAGGCTACAACTTCCAGTTGAGGAAAAGTAATGAAAAGCTGGAGGCAGTAATCTTTTAAACCAATCCAGGGTGATCCACAGGAGCACATCCATCTCCGCCCTCACCATGCCTATTTTTGCCATCAGACATTTCCAGTGCTACCCCAAGCACTCGGTGTTGTGTTAATTCAGGCAGACAGCTCCTCAGGAAGTGTGCTTCACAGAACAGTTGGAGTGGGTTTTTTTGGTTCAACTATTTCATTATGTATCTGTTGCCATATGGGAAATCAGATCATAGGCAGGCAGTCAACTTTTATCCAATTACTTTTATTTTTATGGATAGTAACATACTGTCAGCAATAGCAGAAATTTAGATGTCTTTGAGATCAAACAAATAGCTATCAGTCATGTACACTTGCAAAAATATTATTGAACAAGTTAGAGTTAAAAATACATATTTGGGGTTTTTTTCTCTGTGTGATTTAAGAAAGTGTAATACCAAAACACAGCATAGGCTTGTATAGGTTAATTCTCTCTCCAGAGAGCTGGTAAGATTTTCCATCTCTTCTTATGCTTAAATAATTTCTACTTTTATCAATTTATCCAAAACACAGTAGAAATCACAGCCCAGAAGGCTTCACCACTGTATCCCAGACATTTTAAATAGAATGTGTCCTTGAACTTCTGAAAGATTTCAGACCTATGTGACTTCTATCCGTACATACGGGACTACTGCAGTATATTCAGGAACACTGAAGTGTAATCAGATATTTGGCAGCATCATTTCTGGTGGAAAAGAAGAATCATTAAGTAACAAAATCTATTTACATTTCAGAACACATAACCCTTTAGAAGAATTTCATCAGAAGGATTTTCTGTTTCAGGTTTGGTTTCCCTCCTGAAATTTAATTTAATTCAGAACTTTTCAACAACAGTATTATGCAATCTAAATATCACAAGCATACCATTTTTACATTTTTCTACTTAGATATTGCTCTCTGTGATATTTTGCACTTCTAAAAATATGAGTTATGATTCCAGGTTGTGTCCTGTAATTTAATTTCTGAATCTACTGAATTTGCAGTTCCATTTAAATGAAAAGTCAGATCTCTTTATTGAGGAAGTTAGAAGATTTTGTGAAATGAAGGATAAAGAAAACTAAGCCTTTAGTTTGCCCTTCCAGGCTTATAAATCATCTGAAGAGAAAATAATTTCATCATAAATAGCACAATGTGGGATTTCTTGCCTCTGAATAACTTTGTTACTGTACCTCTTTTAAATAAGCTTCTTTATAAAGCTTAATTTCTAAACAGTTAAAAAGTTCCAGCTTCGTAACATGAATCTTAAACATGATTTAAATTGCTTTATGAGAGAAGGATTGTGTATTTTCCTTAATAGTGGAATAGTCTAGATATGTGAAGGAATTTTAATCTTGGGACATGCAAAGGACTTTTTTGCTTTATTTGAAAGGTAAATACAATTTCATCTTTATCATAGCTATATTGAGTTAAAAAAAAAAAAAAAGAAGAAGAAGAACCTGCAGTAGCAGTGGCTTTTTGTACATTTTATTATCTGTTTTGCTTATTTATTTTTTCTATTTTTTATGCTCAAACTGGCATTCATTTCGAGCTGGGACATGGTGGTCCTATGGCATTTGTGATGGGACCAAGTTCCTTGCAGAAGGGAACTTTGATCTTTAGAGGAGGGTAAAACTTAGTAAAATCTTTACATAGGGAACACTCCAATAGGGGAGAACCACATTAAAACACAACATTGAAATGCAAATTGCTGTAAACAAAAGTAGAATAGAAGTTGGGAAAAAGCTTACAGCCATCCAAAGAGTGTGGATCTGGAATATTCCTCCATGGGGAGCAATATTGGAACATTTTAAATTTTCTTTAGGTTTGCTCATTTTAAAGTGTAGTTTGATCCATCTAGCAGAGAGATTTTATGACTTCCTTGCCTTGGGAGCAAAGGGCTGTATTTGGCACCCAGCAAGACCCCCCAGTTCTGCCCATTCTCGTGGCAGCACACTAACTGGTTGACCTATGTGTGCAGTAGCTGCTTTGCCATGGAAACTGCAGTGCTCATGTTAATACAGGTTCTTACTTAGCCCTAAAACGAATATCCCTCTGAAACTGGCACTTTTCAAATCCTAAGCAAAGCAGTGAGTCAGGAGAGAGGTGAGGCTGACCCACAGTTGCCTGAGTCACACATGGCTGCTAAGCCCACAGGAGGGTTGAAACATGCCTCTCTGGCAGCACCTCCCCACAGGATGGGTGCTGGTCCCCATAGGGCTCTCGGTCATAGGAGACCAGCCCCAGTTCCTGCAGGCATCAGAGAGGTATCAGTCTGCTAAGGACAGCTAGGCAGCAGCATTTAATTGATGTACCAAAATGTTTTGCTGTATTACATTGCATTGGCTTAATTCTGCCTTTGAATGAAGTGTTATTTCACATGCTGTCGACTGCAGTAATATTTGAACCATGTACCCGAAGACTGCAATTTGCCCCATTTGTTAGGGAACTTTAGGGTAGGATTTTGAGAGTGAAAAATTTTGCTGCCTGCCAATTAGTCTTAGAGCCAGAGTCAAACTGTAGTTTAAAAGTCCCATAAATGGGGAAATCCAGTGCTGGGAAACAGACTGTATCCATAGAATTACATCTGTATAAAATACTTTATGGTCCCTTAATCCTTTATGGCTAATTCTTTCTGGATGGCAACTGCTGAAGGGGGTGGTGGAAGGGCCAATGAGAGCAGGGAGGGAGACTGGTTCTATCTCATTCCACATTTCAGTGAAAACAGATCCAATATCCACTGCTTTGCCAAGTAGCCAGTTTAGTTTTCATAGACCATAGGCCTGTACCAGATGTGAATATTGGCTGTGGGCCAGCTTTAAGCAGCAAGAGTGAAACGCAGCCACCTCTCCCTTTTTTCAGTGTCTTTTCATCAAAGCACACGGGCTTCAATTCAAAAAAAGACAAGTATTAATGCACGTGAATCCTCCTTGTGGAGAACAGCACTGCCGTCAGCCCTGGCCGCCTCGTGAGTCAGGACATACGCTCAGCGCAGTAGGTGCCCCCCGTGCCCAGACAACACTCTGCAGCCACTTGCCATATGTCACTGGCCACAGGCCTCACAGGGATCAGTTTCTGTGTCTTGAAGACCTCTGCAGACAGGTACACCTGTCCCAAAAGGGGAAAAGGATCTTTGCACAGGAGCTAGTAGGGCTCATTAAAGAGATTTAAAATAGATCTGAAGGGAGAAAGGGATAAAACCAGGCTAACTAGAGGTGAGCCTGAGGGCAGCATGCCAGTGCTTGAGGACTGCTGTGCTAGTGAGGTCCTTTCTTCTGCCAACTCAGTGGAGGTAGGGGATGGAGATCCATGTGGCAACAAAGACACAAGTGTTATTGATGTGTTAGAAACCATGGGAACAATCATAAGTTAGGGGGTGTTTTGACTGTCTAGATCTTGATGTTGGTGACAAAAGAGTTGAGTGTTTATGGGTAAGAATCAGTGGGAAGGACAACAAGGCAGGTATCATGGTGTGAATCTGTTATATACCATCCAGCCAGAATGAAGAGGCAGAGGAAATATTCTGTAAGCAGCTGAGAGAAGTCTCACCATCACTAGTCCTTGTTCTTGTGGGGGACTTCAACTTCAAAGATGTCTGCTGGAAATACAATGCAGCAGAGAAAAGAGTCCAGGAGGTTGCTGAAGTGTGTGGAAGAGAAATCCCTGATGCTGCTAATGAGTGAGCCAGCCAGGGGAGAACCCCTGCTGGACCTGTTCTTTGTGAACATAGACAGACTGGTGGGTGACGTGATGGCTGGAGTCCATCCTGGACACAAAATGATGGAGTTTTCAATTCTCATAGAAGTAAGGGCAGGATTCAGCAGAACTTTAACCTTGCAGTTCCAGAGGGCTGACTTTAGCCTGTTTAGGGGCCTGACTCACAGAGTCCCTTGGGAAGCAGTCATGAAGGGCAGAGGAGTCCAGAAGGGCTGGACTCTGTTCAGTTCTGGGCCTCTCCAAGAAAGACCTTGAGGTGCTGGAACAAGTCTAGAGAAGGACAATGGAGCTTGTGAGCAGTCTGCAGCACAACTCTTATGAAGAGCAGCTGAGGGAGCTGGCATTGTTTAGGCTGGGGAAAAGGAGACTCAGGGCAGACCTTATCTTAAAGGTCTTTTCCGACCTAAACAATTCTATGATTGTATGATTTTGCAGGCCAAAGGCAGCAATCCCATTTCATCACCATATAGGCAAGGTGTAGGTCACCAAATCAGGCAGCACTGTAAATCAGCAGGTGAAGGTTGGACTCAGAGAATCCCTTGGAATTGTCCAGGTTTTGAAAAACAAAACAATAAAAGGTGTGGTTTTAACTCAGTTACCTTGGGGCATTAGCAAACTCCATTTCAAACAGTGCTGAAAGCAAGGTGAAGTACCTGGAATGGCAGTTCAAAATGAATCCCACCTGAGCTCAAGCAGTTAATTCCTGCATGTTCCCAGGTTCCTTTGTTGCTGGTGTTGTTTTAGTGACAGCAAACTCACAGCAGTTAAGAATGCACTTTTTTTTCATAACATAGACATCTACTCAGTTATGATTCATGTCATTCTGCTGCACAGGCTTATTGAAATTCCTCAACATGTCATTCACCCTCAAGGCTCATACTGTGTGAGTATGGCTATAAAACTGTGCTGAAACAGAATTCATTTGGGACTTTCACTTGTTGCCATTTTTGTGCAGCTGAACTTTGTTCTAGTAGGCAAAACTCATAGTATTATTTGATATGGAGTGAGCAGCATGAAAGTTTAATATTTAATTAATTGATTTTAATATTTGCCTTGATTTCACCTTCCTAGACTGCCGTATTGAACAAATTTTGCCACAATAATTTTGTTTCTCTGAAAATATGCCTGGTTTTGCCATGATCATTTTGTTTGTTTGAAAATATTCCTGGTTGTAAGCAGAACATTTCTGATGTACTTCCCCCCACCATTTTGTGACCCAGGGCTTGCTGTTGGTCTGGATCCACAAGGCTATGGGAACCCTGATTTCTGCTGGTTGTCTGTTCATGACACCCTTATCTGGAGTTTCGCTGGGCCCATCATAATGGTTGTCATTGTAAGTAGGGTGGAGGTGGCATCCAGAGTGGTCTCTTCTTTATTGCTACCTTTTCTTTTATGTTCTGTCAAACAGTAGTCATAATGCAAAGCAGCTGTGTTCTTTACATTTGAAGCAGATGTATTGGAGCTTATGTCTTTTGCTTAAACAGGTAAGACATGAGCTAAGCTCCTGGAATCAGAGGGCTGCCTGCCAGTACAAAGATTGCTTGTGGAGCAATGGCTGTATGGCTTGAAACCTATTTATTTTTTCCCATTTGCTTTGTTCCATGTTAGAAGAGTTTGTTTATGAGCTTATAAAACAAATCAACAAAATGAGGTATAACAGGTCACTCCAACCAGAAGTCCTAAAGGAATATTAAATATTTTCAATTTCAGGAATTTAAAAGAATGGGCTGGTGTTTAACTTCTCTGTTAAAACTTCTCCCTTAAAGTAACACCAGAAGATGAATATTCATGGTGTAACTCTTATTTTGAATGCCAAATGCAGTTCTGCTCTCCTCATCTCAAAAAATGTGAAGTAGACCTGGAAGCAGCGTAGGTTAGGATCCCGACTCATCAGAGACATGGGATAGCCCCCACTGGAGGACCAACTAAGTGGACTAGGAGCCTTAAGCTTAGAAAAGAGAAAGCTGCAGAGAAGGCGGAAAGGAGGAGGCTGTAACAATGTATTGGTCTGGAGAAAATTACAATGGACCCAACCATTCAGAGTCTTTTCCAACACAAGCAGTAGCAGGAGGTGGCAGATTCAGAACAAACAGAACAAGCTGCATCATTTCTCCACAGAGCATTAAGTAAGAAACTCCTGCCAACAGGACAATGGTGATGGTAAAGCTCTACACAGCTTTGGAAAGTGAATGATAGGACAAATTCTCAGCACTGATATTCACTACGAGTAAATAAGTACATCCCAGCTGTGAAAGTCAGTGGAGGCTGGAGGATTTTTCAGGGGAATTACCACTTTATATTTTCTCTGTTAGAAAGATTCTTAAAGTCTAGTTTGACTCAACTGAAATAAGATGCTGGGCTAATAGGACTCTGATCTGGAAAAGGACAGCATTTCTTGATTTTTTATCTTTCACTTAAGCATTTTTGCATAGGGCTGCCTTACTAAATTTCATACAGATCAAGTCCTAGATTGTCCTTGACTGTGTTGCTTTGAAACAAGGAGAATCTTGTAATTTAGAGAATTTAAGCTGAAGAGAAAATATTCTTGGCACCACAAACCATTTTAGGATAAAAATTGCATTGTTTTTGAATACAGAGACCTAACAAATGTACAGAAAGAATCCATGCTGTTATTTCAATTTTCCTTTCAGATAAACACTGTCATCTTTATACTGGCAGTGAAAGCATCATGCAGACGAAGACAACGTTCATTTGAAAAAACTGGAGTTGTGTAAGTTTGAGTTCAAAAACCTGTAGAAAAAGTTCTGTCCAGAAATAATAAAGGGACAGAATCGCATAAAAGCAAGTTTTGGAGTGGCAAATAAAAAAGGTTTTGGGGCGATACAGTGTTGGTAGAGGCAATAGGAGCTGCTTCACCAGCACCTACTCTTGGGATTCCCTTGAAGGCCCTGTAAAATCTGCACCACCAAGTGTGGTCAGAAGAAGGGAAGAGAAGGAAAAGATCTGGTCTCCAGATTATATCATTACAGTCCTTCCAGGTCTTTCATCATACTCCCCACTACATTGTCACTTCACCTCTGCCCACGGCATGCTCAGGTAGACATAATTCTGGGTCTCCCTGTGCTTACCTGTGGCTCAGAAAGGTCTACCCTGTCATATGTCTGGGTTACCAGCTATGTCATGGCAGAGACCCACTGAAGTTCCTGTGCTGAGGGCCAGCCTCCCTGCATCCCATTCCTCATGGGATGAGCAGAAAGCCTCACAAGCTGCAACGTGCTGCCTTCCTGAACTCCTGTGACAGCCTGTTCCCATTAATGTGTGTTTTGCCCAAAGCTCAGAATTTACCTGTGAATTCAAATGTGATTAGTGGCAAGACAGCCCCTCTTTTGTTTTCCCAAATAGAGTGTGAGATTTCAAAAGGCTGCTTCTGCTGATCTTTTTTCAGCCCTGGCTGTAAGGTGCTGTGTACACATTGGCATGCCTTTTCCAGCCCTAATGTCCCTTGAGCTGTAGGCTTTGTGGTTCTCTGAACTCTAACCCTAACACCAAACATAATGAACACTAGAATCTGAGGGTGAGTTCCCCAGCAACATGGGCCCAGTTAATAAAATTGTGGAAGAAGCAGTGTTGGTGCAGTGCCATGCTCTCCTTGACATGCCTGTTCTGGTCCCAGTGTGCCTAGAGCTGTAGGCTTTGTGGTTCTGAACTTTAACCCTAATAGCGGCTTGGGGCTGAGGATGAGGTCCAAATCTCCCTAAACCAATGGAGTATAATTGCTACTTAATGGCAGAGAGTTTGCTCATAATATAAAACTTTTGCCACTAGAATTGTGTCTGTATTTTGAAAGTGTCTGTAAAAATCATGTTTTTAAGCAAACAAATATTCACCTGAGTGCCCTTGATCCAAAACCTTGGGCAGCAATGTTGAGAAGGTATGGGAAAGTGAACTTGACAAAGAGAAATGAGATGGAAAGGCCATTTACTGCCCAAATCTCTTCCTTGGAGTCAACAAGGCTAAACAGGATGGGCTTTGCAAACAATCTCGTTTGTTTGAAGAGAATCTTGGAAAGGAACTTGGAAAGAAATCACCCTTTTTTACCTGTATATGCTAATTCACAGAGCAGTGCCATGAGAGAGTTGTGAACTGGGAGCTGATGAGCACTGCCCTAATTTTCCCAAAGGGCCTTACCAGTTGCCAAGTCATTGGACTGTCCCTGGGGAGAAGTTGGGCTGTTCTCTTGTATCCCAACACACTGCAAGTGTCCATCTGTGCTTGCTTTACAGCTCTGTGCTGCGAACAGCATTCCTGCTCCTGCTGCTTATCAGTGCCACGTGGCTGCTGGGGCTGATGGCGGTCAACAGCGACGTCATGACATTTCACTATCTCTTTGCCATTTTCAGCTGCCTGCAGGTAAGTTGGATGGTGTCTTGTTTGTGGCACACCTTCATGAGTGCACTGCTGCACCCAGGCCTCCAAAAACCTGCTCAACATGAGCTAACTGAAGAAAAACAGAAAGCTCGAGTACATTTTGTGCCCTCTTTTCTCAAAGAGAGGGTTCTTTTCACCAAAACCAGAACTGTAAGTAATTGCACCTCTCACATTTAGTCATTCTAAAGGTAAGTGCACTACTATAGTAACCTGTGACAGATAAATAACAGTAGGCAATTATACCTCTGTCTTTTTAGAGAAAAAGTCTTTGTTACTGTCTTCTGTGTGCTTATTGTTAACAGTTGTTCTATTGCTACCACAAATGAGAGGCTGTTTTTTTCAGCCAGAGTGAATGACTCCAAGGCTTTCACAAATTAACTTACTGTTAAAAGAAATTAGTCAAATGATGATTTTCAAGTCCAGCTCCTTGTATTAGGGTTTTACTGGGTTGCCTGCCCTAATATTTGCATGCTTGTTGATTAAAGATGCACAAAATAGTTATTTGTAGGAGACCTGACATGGAAATAGTCATGAAGCTTCATGTTGGTCACAATTTGAATGTGACCAAGGATGGCAGTAGCTATCCTAGCAAGTGCCTGCAGTATTGAAAGAGCTACTGCTAGCTGGACACTCTTGTCAGCTGCAGCACAACAGCAACAGACTGCAGCCAAAGAGAAAAAGAAATCAGATGGGTCTCCTTTGGAGATGACTGTTGATGCCCTGGAAGCACAGCAGGTAGGCCAGTCTGGAGCAAGGTTATTTTGCCGCTGCAACTGGTGTGCTCTGAAACAAATGCAGCTACTCAGGCTGTAAAACCAGGCTTCCATAAGTCTAAAATAAAATTAAATTAAGTATAAACCTCATGAGAAGGAGGGAAGTCAGCAGCTGGAATTCTCCAAACTTGCCCAGAGAAGCACAGTGGTATGTGGCATTTCACATCGTCTTCTTTGAACTTGTATTTTTAAAGAGACATTTATGTGAATTTTATTAATGAATAATCCCTAAGTGCTAGTGCCAGCTACGATCACAGTTGACTGAATGTTTAGAAAGTGAGCTTGAAGTTTAACATTACTCTAAGTCAATTGCTTTGGCTGAAATCATGAAATTCAGGCTTCTTGTGGTGTTGGTACAGCTGCAGCTTCATGAGTGATTGGCTTTCCTATCCTGTATCTCCAACCAAAGTTGATAACAATTTGGCAGCTGCATTAATTCCCTCAGAGCAAATACATCTGAAGGCACACACGTGCTTGCCCCCTGCTCTCAGTGAAAGCTGTTAATGTGTGTTCCTGGGAGCCAACAACTGTCCAGCCCTGAGGATTTTAGTGGGTTTTCCACTGGGAGGTATTGGCTAACCAAGGAACTTGGGCAGCAGAAGTTGGGACCTCTCTGCCACCAGTATCTCTTCACATCTCACAAGGCTTTCTAAAGTTCTCTTAACCAACAATATTAAGGACACCTTTCATAGAAGTTCCCCATTTCCAGAGGTTTTCACTAAAGGCTGTGATCTTTTTCATGTGCTGCTATTGATTTTGTCTTGTCATCTGTGTAAAATCTCCAGAATCTCAAGTTCAAACTCCTTGCAATGTCTTCCAGTGACACATGGAAGTTCTCATTGGATATTTTGAGAAGAAAGTTTCTTCCCAAATCAAGCTGTGCTCTGTAAATCCTGGAGAGGCGCATCTTTGTGTGTATTTTACCGGGCCTCTTAGGCACATTTGAGCTTGGAAGCAAATTACGAAGGATTCCTGGGAGATCAATCAATGCTATTTCAGTCAAAAAATAGTTATTGCTTTAAAAATACAGAACTATGGACTACAAACTAGAATTCAGGGGTTATTTCAAAACTGCTGTTCTCTAATATCCATATTTGCAGTTTGGTAGTAGTGAATCATTTACATTTATTCTTTATCTCTCTACAATTATCCAGGGGCTGTTCATTTTCTTCTTCCACTGTGTATTTAACAAAGAAGTCAGAAAGCACTTGAAGAACACTTTAACTGGAAAGAAACCTCTTCCAGATGATTCCACTGCAACAAGAGCTACATTATTAACTGTAAGAAAAAAGCACTGGGAAAAAAAAATGTCCTCTTGCTGGTAGAAGTTACTTAAAATAAACTTGTAGGTGGCTTGTGTGTAATAACGTGAGCTGTACGATTGCTTTCAGTGACTTGTACAGAAATTAGCCTCTCTCAAAAGTTTTTACTATTTTAATTAAAACTTTTGAAAGAAAATAATTCATTTCCTCAGCATCCAAAACTATTTGGTTCCTCTGAAACTTTATACATTTGTGGGTAACATGAGCTTCTGGAGAGATCATTCACTATTGCTTTTTTTTTCTTTTTTTTTTTTTCCTTCAGCGATCTCTAAACTGTAACAACACGTATATAGAAGAGCCAAATATGTATCGCACAACTATTGGGGAATCCACTGTCTCCCTAGAAAGCACCGTCAGGTCAGCCAAGAGCCACAATAGCTACCTTGCTTATATTCTCAGGTAATCAGGTGGCAGGTGCATGGCTTCCAGGTGCTTGCCTTTCCCTTTTCATTGCTCTTGCGGAAACCAGAGATGTGGTTCAAATGCTACTTGGTTTATGTCTTAACAGTTCTGTTTTGTGTGACTGTCATTTTCTTTGGTGCATTTTCTGTTGCATCTTCGGTGCGGGGTTCCAACAGCGCAGTGGTTAACATAATAGTTATGTTAACTGTGTGGGCCATGCTGCTTGCCTGTTAAAATTCAGACATGTCTCAAGGAGTGCACTTTAGCTCATTAACTTTGGCTTTTTCAGAGTGTGATTCATGTGGCCAAAGGCAGACAGCTGCATTAGGGTAACCTCTGTCTTGCTGCAAGGTGACCACGTGGGCAGTCAGGCACAGGCTGGCATCCACTGCAGCTCTCTGCATTTGACCGGACGAATCCCATCGGCAAGTCTGCCTTGCTGTTAAGAACAGTAAAGTGACCAAGAAAGTTGTCCTCTGTTTTTCTTCTCAAAGGGATGAGGCTGCTCATAAACTCAGTGGATCCTCAAGTCAAGCAAGGGCTGGCCAGACTGAAGCAGATTCCTCTATTTTTCATAGGAATCCATCAAAATCCAATGGTAAGAATTATTTCTTAATGCTTTGACCCATCTGTGTACCTTCTCCTTCTCGGCATTTTCTTCAAAGTCTTCTGTAACAAGAACAATCCTGACTTGGATGTATCTCATTCTCATTATGATCTTGGCATAACAAGCTATGCAATGGCTGCCTTACGAGGAATTCTGGAATGGAAATATCATACATCTGCTTCTTGCGATGGTTCAGTTTTCATCTGATAGCTGTCACAGCTTTTGACAGTTTATGGCATCCCCTGTCTTTCTCACAAATTACATGCTATTGCTCTTGATTTTTAGTTGGAGAACTTCTAACGTTTGAAACCTTGAGGCAATATCCTCCTTCACTGCTCTGTGGTTTGTACAAGAAAATGAGAAGTGCCTGTTGTCTGATTTCCTTTCATTTTGGTCTTGCCATTAAATTTTGTTGGCTTGTAGCCGTTTTTAAATTAAGTGCATTTCAGATTCTTGATACCTTTGTTTACTGTGTGCTGTGTTGATAGATCCTATAGTTACTGTTCTGCATATTGAATAGGGAAAAATGTGCCCCCACTCTGCTCTGCGCCTCCTGTACACGTAAAAAGTCCTGCCCACTAGCTGAGCTGAGTAGTTGTGCTTCCCATGATTACTTAGGTGGATGCTGCAGTCCTTCTGAATTAATGCTATATATATTTACGGATGTAAGAGCTCATCCTTGGCAGGGCCTGAAACAGTCTTTTCTTCTCGTTGCACATTTGTCAGATGGATTTGTTAAACTCCTGTTTTCACTTTCATCACTCTGTTTCCCCTTTCTGCATTTGTAGACCACGATTCAGACTCTGACAGTGAACTCTCCCTCGATGAACACAGCAGCTCTTATGCCTCCTCCCATTCATCAGACAGTGAGGAAGATGGACTTGAGGCAGAGAAAAAGTGGAACACATCTACTTCCAAAAATAATGAACGTGGCCCACTCCACAGCACACCCAAAGGTACTCCCAGTGTGAGGGGAAAGCAGCGATGCTATAAAATAGCTTTAAGTTAGACAGGATATATTTGCCAGACTACCATAAAACTGTAACTGTATCTCTACCTCCGTGTCTTGCTTCAGCCGAGGTCCTTGTCATTTCCATCTTAGAAATCTTTCTTCCCAAAGGCTTGTTCACAGGGGTGACTGAGTACTGAACACTGAGTGCCCTCAGGCAGAGTGGGCTTTGCAAACGGGTCCCCACAGCCCTTGGACACAGCACTATCAAGTCAGCAAAATCTCATTTGAAGAAGAGGAGAAAGAAGCTGCTTGTTTTGAGGGCAGGCGTAGGAAATACCTGCCTCTCCTCATACATGTGTATCCGGTGGTGTTGGACCTAAAGAGTTGGAGATCATGTGACAGGATTCAGGCATTTCTAAGCATAGTCAATTCTGTCCTAATGAAAGACAGCTTTGAATGACAAATATTCAGGTTGTGTGCTGAGGCTGTGCATAGATACAGCACAAGGTGGCTTGGGTGCCCCCCAGCCTTAAGAAACCAACCTCTCCAGGGAGGGATCTCTAACCCTGGAGAGGTGAGAGGGCGAGTTTGCCTCACGCTTCTCCATAATGGAGTGAGCAACCTTGCTCTGGGAAGGGTTTGGACACCCTGCCATCCTACCAGGTATGTTTTAGAGGTTTAGTGCACCCTGAGGGCAGTGCAGTCCAGCAAGGACCATATGAAGGATTGCTCTGCTTTGACACACAGCTCCTCTCCTGCTACAGGGAGTAGACTGATCAGAAAGCGGTTGAGAGAACATATCAAAAGTGGTTTTCGAGCTAGTGTTTTTTTGCATTGCAGTTGATACCCTTCCCAATCATGTGAAACCCTATTGGCCCACAGAGTGTGTAACAGCCAGCGACGGCGAGGACCCCGGCGGGAAGCCAAAACTCAAAGTAGAGACCAAGGTCAACGTAGAGCTTCACAGGGAAAACCAGGTGAACCATAACAACGAAGCACCACAGGACAAGGAGAACGAAGGGCAGCAGAAGGAGAACAGACCTCTGTCCCACCAGAATAACCAGCAGCCAGAGCAGAGGAAAGGTAGCGCAGCCAACCTAGCCTCACAGTTGGCCTGGGAGACTGGGGGGTTAATGAGCATTGATTAGTTCATTAAGTAGCTCTGTCAGGGAAGAATAATTTCCAAATGGCTCCAGTCTTTGTAACCAGATATTCCATGGGAAGTTAGTAAGTAGTTGCTGAAGTCTAATCTTCTGGGTTTGGAGTAAAGTGATAAATTAGGAGTCTTAGTAAGAAATATAAAATGTCATTTCTTGATTGTGCTCAGCTTAAATAAATGAAATACTGATAAATGAAATACTGATAAATTTTAAGATTTTCATTATTCCCTCTTTTCTGTAACAGGCATCTTGAAAAATAAAGTTACATACCCTCCCCCACTGGTGGATAAGAATATGAAGAATCGTTTGCGGGAAAAGCTGTCGGATTACAATCAGACCACGATCTCATCCAGGACTACTTCCCTGGGGACAAATGATGGGGTCCGCTCTCCTTCAGACTCAGGGGTGACAGTAAAAAGTGCTTGGAGGGAGCAGTCTCGAGACCAGCTCAATGGTATGGCCATGAACCTCCACGTGGGAACAGGACATGCTGACACCTCAGACTCAGAGTAAGTGCCACATCAGGATACCCTGGCTAGCCTCCCATGACTCTGGTCTCTCCCTTCACCTTCCAACCCCAGATCCCACATGAACAAAAATCTCATCTGGTGACTGGACCAGAGTCCTTCACTGTAACTGTCTTGATGGCTTGTCCATACCATGTCCCTAAGCCGTGGTGTTTCACTGATGAGAAAGCTAAAACATGTATCACAGGCAAGGTGCCATGACAGACACGTTACTGGTCACCCTGGCATTCTCTGAATTGGCAAGCTGATGTGTTACTGGCACACTGTGGACAAGAGCAGCCTAGCTCTGCCTTGTTACCTTGCTGCAGAAGTTTGGGGAGAGTTTGGTGTCCATCTGGGCAGAGGGAAACCATCGGTGGGGCAGGAGATCCCAAGGCTGGAGAGAAAGTCAAGCTACTGATCCTAAATTACCAGGTGTGTGATTCCCACCTGCTGCTTGGCAATTAGTGTGTGAATTTGCCATTGTAAACTAAATCAAATATTAACAAAAGGCTGAGCAAGCTCTCAGCCAAAGGGAATTCTCAGAAACCTCATTACTCATCATAATTCTTGCATTTATAATTAAAACAATGGCCATATGTAAAGTCTGTGCAAGCATTTTATGCGTATAGTTTCATTTTTTATTAACACGAATAATAGTCTTATCCTTTCATCAAACCAAGAGAATATTTCTCACCCAGCTTTAACTCTGGCACTGTCCCACCATGCTTTAGACACCCATGTTGTCTGGGTGCACAGACCATTCCCAGCTCTATAAAAGCAGATGTTTGGATTGCCGGGAACTGGCTGATGAAATAGGTTCTGCTTAGCTGGGAAACAGAGATGTCTTTAACAAACCGTAACTACTTGCTGGTACCAGGTACTGTATTATCTCCTCACTTCTGCATAATGGAAAACTCTGCTGTTGGCAGCAGATTGCATGAATCTCTCTGAAACACCAGGTTTGTAACAGCTTGTAAGATTTGTATGTGAATCCTCACTGTTAGCCAAATACAAGCCCTCCATAGAACTTCCTCTAAAACCTGTTCCTCTTGTGTACTCCTGGAACTGTTTCTCCCAGCTGGTCTTCCCCTGCAGGGCAGCATACCCCTTGCAAGCAGTAGATTGGCAAGGCATGGTAACTTCACAGAGCATGAGCCCTTACTAAGAAGGATTAGGTGGTTTTGGGCGGGGTGGTTTGCCTGTGCCTGTTTAACCCTAAGCCTGCATGATTACTTCTTCTCACTAACAGAGGCAGTAATGAAACTTCAATTTGAACCATCAGGAAACTGTGATCACCTCTGCGTGGCTCTGGACTCCACACTGCAGGGTCGCCGCCTGCCTGCCACGGATTTCATCAGAGTGGCCGTGTGCTGAGGAGGGTGAGGTGGGCACTGATTCCCACACGGTTTCACGTGATGGCACACTCCTGACCGCTCACAGTGGGGACACAGTGCCCGGATGCACTTGCAGTAAGATTGCTGTGTGGTGCGCTCCTCACGGCATGAACCCGTGCTGAAAACACATGGAAATGGCCACAGGGATGCACTGTGATGGACGGATACCTGTTCGTAGTGCAGACAGTGCTGCAAGGGTTGCTTATTACAAGGGAAAAACAAGGAAAAACTTGTTATTACCATAGTGGACCTACAAATAAGTCAACCCGTCAGCCTGGAGACAAGCTCTAGATGTCTCTGGTGGAGTTTTGATGGCTGCAGTGTGAACCCTTCAGCTTGCTGGGCTCTAGGGAGGAATATCCTAACAAGTGTCCTTTGGTTTCTATGCCAGCATCTCTGTCCACCCCCCTATGGACACATCGTCTTAAGAAAAAAAATCTTTTATATATATATAAAAAGTGTAGATACTTTTATATATTTTGTATGGTGTTGCTAAAGAAAAAGTTCCTTTGTATATTTTACATTTATACTTATCTTCTTAATTTGATAACAGGAAATCAATTAAAAAGAGGATTTGATATTTTTTATATGAACATTGCACAATTTTACTTGAATTTGGCGTTTGGTAAAGTAACTGAGGGTTGCATGAAAGCCACCTTCAGACACAATGCAATTTTTCAGAGTAAAGTAATGCAGTGAAGATTACATCAAAATCCATGGCTGTAATTTATAGGTTTTGTTGACAGATTTTGGAACACTTTAAGGGCACAGTATGTTTCTTTCATAACTTCTTTTAAAACCCACAAAATTTTGTTTTTTTCATTTTTTGGTGTTTTGACCCCCTTCTCTGAAGTGCATTGAAATGTTCAGGAACTGAACTTCAGGACTAAAAAGAAGTCATAACTTTGTGTAAGATTTCAACGCAGTCTTGTCTGGAAGAAGTCAAATCAGTATTTCTCTTACCAAGAACAAGAAAATAAGTAATATGATTGTATGATAGGTTTTGACTTTGGTCTGGCTCTGAAACAAACCAGCACTCTGTGTGTCCTAAGGAGAGGGCCCTCCTCCCAAGGGGAAAGTTCTGCCTCAGGTGCAGTATTTTATTTTACTGTATTTTAATCTTTTTCCCACTGGGTTCAGCACATTGCTAATCAATGCAGAAATACAAGTCTTTAAGACGTCCAGGTTTCACTGCCCAGCTCTTTGACAAAGCCCTAGCCTTCTGATGTTTCAAAAAGCACATGGAAGGCTTAAGGTTTCATATTTCTCACAAAATGTGCTGGTTTCACAAGTATAGGAAGTGAAATGGGACCTATCTGCTGTCTTCACCTTCCTGTGATGTGTACAATTAAAGGAAGATCAAGATGTGAAAAAGTTTGCATCCAGCTGGCACAGAGCTCAGCCAGTGACTCCCCGTGGTGGGAATATGTGACTCCAAGGATGGCAGTGGTGTGGCTGTGACCTGCTCTCTGACAACAAGGCTTTCAGAAGCTCCTTGCTTGCTGTAGCAGCCCTTTTGGGAAAATAGTGGCTATTGTTTGTGCAAATGTGTGTGAAAAGGGAAAAAAACAGAAAATCAGGCTAAATAAAATGCAAGAGTTGAGGGAAAGATGAAAAACTGTATGCTGTAATCTTGATTTCATTATATTCCTATGCATTTTCAGAAGTATCAAGGAGACCTTTGGAAGGGGAGAGGGAGGAAGGATGCTGTTCCTTTCAAAATTATGCAACATATTGTGTGACATGTTCTGACAGAAAAAAAATTTGAATGTTTTAAATGTGCACACTTGGCTGTGTACTCAGGCATTGTGTATAACCCATGCTAGTTCTTTTCACATCTGTGTATGTATATTTTGTCCCAGTGAGATGTAGGTAGTTTTTATTGTTGCAGAATTGTTGCAGTAAATGAGGGTAAGTTGTATTAATGACAAAAAAATTAAAACCTATTTTTATGACTTTTTAAAAGCTTTATGGCAGATTAGACACTGGAGGTTGTTGTTTTGTTGTTTTTTTTTTTTTTTTTAACAAATGTATATTTATTAATGTGCAGAACACTGGAATTGCAGCACAGATGAAAGGAGAATTTACAATAAATTAAGAATTTTTTTCAACTTTTATTCATCCTCTGGTGGTTTATTTTAAGTGCAGTGCATATGCTGAGGGTCCAAATGGCATTTTCCAGGGTTTAGAAAGTAATGGGAGCAGGGAACATACGGGTACCCCTCGCTCTCACTGCGGAAGCAGAGGCTGTAAAGCATCAACGAGCCAACACACACAGCTCTCTCACCCTTCCAGCCCAGTGGTTTGTGCTCTGTGCTGGCACAGGGTACCACTGCATGCACTGCATTTCAGCCCAAACCTGTGGCATTTTTCAGACATGGGAAATGGCCTGTTGAAGAGAAATACCCTCTGCTAACCCAGAGCAAAGCAGATCACCAGGAAAGCACCAGGTTTAAAAAAGGAGGTTGGAGAAGAGCTAAAGGGGGTGAGGCAGGCAGCCAGCCCAGCCCAGTGACAGCCTGCAGTGACAAGGGCCATTTTTGGACTTCTTGGCTACATTCTTGGCTCTTCCAATCAACTGAGGCCAAGCCATGGTCTTGCTCAGTCAATACTTTTCAGGTTGTTGTGAAAGTCTTCATTCATGCATCTCCCAAGGCACAGCAGTGATCTGCACGTCTGCCAGCTTTCTGGAAATAAAAGTATTAGTATCAACTGGCCAGTGTGAAGTCAGGTGGAGAGCATCTCGCTACTGTCATGATTTTAAGGGCAAAATCAAAGACAGGATGTACAGTTTGCAAGCAGCTGCTAAAACTTGCCTCTAAACAAACTCAAGTAATTAGCCCAAAGGGAAACTGTTCTAAATTTTACTGTACAAATGCATTTTTGACAGAAGACTTATACTTGAGGTTTTTTCTCAAAACTTTTCACTTTTCTGTGGAAAAGCAGAAATAAGCCTTAGGCTTTCACATAAGCAGGATAGTTAAGGGACAGACCAGCCTGTGACCCTGTCTCCAGTAGCGACCCACAGCAGATGTTTAGGAAAAGAGGATTATCAGCCACGCTTTACATGGCAAGTTGGCCCCAGCAGGGTCCACAGACCCCAGCACGCTGCAGCTCAGGACTCCCCAGAGGGAGAAGTTGTGCTTGTCTGCAGCAACATATTTTTTTCCCTCATATGTCTGTCATGTTGTATTTTGGACTCGTGTAAAGTTCTAGTACACAGTGGGTTGTCTGATTCAGATACAAGCAGCAAGAAAAAGTTCTTCCTCATCTTTAGCTTCATTCCTGTCCTCTACAATGGACACCTTTACTGCTTGCAGCAGGAGAGGCAGTGAGTAATCATTTCTCAGTCACCTTCTCCAGGTGAAGGAGGGAGAAAGGCTCTGTTCTAGAGCACTTGGGTTGTATTTTTCCACCTGAACAACTTGGATGTCTGTCATTGCTCCTTGTGCAGAAACACTGCTGTACCTTTTACCCTTCCTTCTTGCCCTTCTTCAACCCATTGCCAGGTGTAACGTGACCTTTTTGGTGGTGGCAGATAGAGAAGAGACCGGAACAGCCCAAAAAATGCAAGCAGTAGGCCTACCAACACCCAAAAAAGAAAAAAGAGAAAAATAATTAAAAAGATTCTCCATTTCATTAACTTTCCCTGTCCTAATATTTACAGTGACATTTGGCCTAAGCAAACTGTAAGAAAAAAAAACTCTAGAAGATACGGACCAGTAGCAGCAGCATGACATGGTAAGACTGCAATAACATAATCAGTCATGTAGTCCAGCCCCTCCAACAACTCCGGTTCAAATATACTCAGGATTTGTCTAAAACAGTCTTAAAAATCCTAAATTATAATTCCAGTACATCCACCAATAGCCTGTAATAGCACTTCCTAGGATGATGAGTTAGTTTGCCTATGTTCTTGTCATGCTTAGCCACACAGCTTGCTCAGCTGCAGAGGATGCTCCTGCCAAAGTCTAGGGGAATCACAGAAAGGACATCATCAGCAGTCCTGGTGAGATGTTATCATTGTCCACACCGACACCACCTGTAGAGCCAGAACCAGTCTGGGATGCATTTGGGCCCCACAGCCTCTTCTGCAGAGGTTTTGCCCTGCCTTTATGCTCCTGTTTGCACATATTCAACTCACTTCTCTTCCCTAAACGAAGCGATTTGTACTGGACTCATTTTCTATTTTAATCTCTTGATTTTTGGATCCATCCTCTAGTTTCTCATACTCATTCTGACTTTCAGTTCTGTCCATGAGGATGCCTGGAGGCAGCATCTGCAGCCTTTACAAGCTACCTTTCGTTTCATCATTCAAACCATGAATGAAAATACCCAATTAAACTAAGGCCAAGAGGGGGCTTTTGTAACACTTCCCTTCTTGCCAAGCAAGATTTGCACCTACCTCGTATCAATTAATGTCAGCCCACACTGACTGCGTTTTGCGTATGAGAACAGAGTAGGGGACAGTATCAAACCATTTACTAAAGACTGTCCCATCTGCTGTTGCTGCTCCTTTATCCACTGTGCCAGGCACTGTATTAAAGAAAATTAGATTAATTGGAAGTGTGTGTGGCAAAGAGACCGTGTTAATTCACTATTGTCTTCTAAATACTTCAAAGCATTTGTAAGTGCCCCCAGGAGCCCTCTGGAGCTTTGTGTTGGGCTTGGTCAGCCATCTGCTGCTGCCATCCCTTTGCTCAA